ATCTGACTATGTGACTTCAACTCTTGTTGCGAACCATCATTTGGCATCATTGAGTCAATGACTGTGCCCTAGGGTGGCGACCATAAGGTTCAAGTGCTCCGGCCTGTAAGGCACGAGAACTTGACGGTTGAGTAGGCACCACTCTCCTGCCGAGTACAGGCTGACTCTTATACGATCATATGATGTATCTTGGACTCATAGGGCAGGATAACAGGTCTCCACAACTTGGTTTAACAGCAGTCCACTTCTGGTTTGTCCTAGAACACAGATCATGTAGTGCTAGCAGGCTAGTGGATAGAAGAGAGCAAAAAGTAGAACTATAGGACTGATGTGACTCATTCAGGGAGGACATTATGGGTCGCAGAGCATTATTTGAGGGTCCGGTCAATCACAGAACAGGAGACCGTAAAAAGATCTTGACAAAAGCAATCTATATAAATTACAACATCATGTGGAGCTCGTGAGACCCCGCCGCCGGCAGTGCCTGTACCAGGCTTATAGCTCTGCACTCTTCATAGCTCACAGCCATACTAACAAGGTTCCACATGATAGTCGCCTTCTTCAGGAACTTGGATTCAAGGGTGACTGTCATCTTGCTGCTGATATTAACACTGCTAAGACGTAGGGTTAATCTGCTTATCGCAACCAGAGTACCGATCCTCAAGTCAGAAACAACGATTACATGCTCGCAGCATCTCCTATAAATCATCCCAACCCCAATACTTCTTCACTCTTTTACAGACGTTAGAGACACCACACAGGCGCAACCCCACAAACATATCTTCAGCATAGAGCCCAACATGTCCTACCCTGTTGTATTGACTTGTATATACAGGAAAGCCCAAACTTAAAATCATCCGAGTCAAATATCATGATGTGGCCACTGATGTTCAGAGAGCCAGCTAATAGATGACAAATCTTTTTTTTCTCCCCTCTAACAACGGGCAGCCACATGCAAAGTATCTTTCCATGAGGTCGATACTTACCTCCCACTTCCCTTGTTTCTTCAAAGGGACCCTCTAACATCATGCCTCTGACGGTCAAGGCGGGGTTGTGGTCCCAATTCCTCTGGGCTGCAATCATCGATGTGTGAGCTTATGATACCATAGTAAAAGATTGACTACGGAGGAGACGGGCTGGAGCGTATGGACGAAACGGCAAGGAGATATCACGTCTCTCCTTTATGCATCCACTTGGAGCTATTGTTCCATTGCTGTGAGGTTCTGTTCTCATATATAAAAATGAGTTTATATAACTGGTTCTTATACGCTTGCTAGCCCCAGCCTCATTATTCACATCAGATTACAAATGGCTTGCGGGAACCTACCGCACTTGACTACCCTACAGTGTTTTTTTCTGTCGGAGGCTTCACTGATTCGTGATATATGCTTCATTACGAGCATCATTGCATTTAACTAGCTCTCTACCTATGGTTACTGTTTCTTGGGCACACACGCCAACACCTTTGTCTGGAACTTGATTACCGCTGGCTCTAGCGACTTGTACCAATCCAGCCTTTGCACATGGCAGCCACAACCTGGGGTGAGCTGGCAATACCTGCATCGAATGCCTGGAATTTTTTTTTTTTTTCGCTGCATCAGGCATATGGATTGATTGTCGGAATAAACATGGCGGAACTCCCTTTATGTTGGCAGCAATCTGTCGCTTGGATAAAAACATCAAGATTTTGCTCGAAAATGTGCCGACCTTCGGGAACGAGATGATCGAGGTAGAACCGCATACGGGTATGCCATTAATTGAGAAGGCTAGAAGGGCAGCTGAGGATGGTGGATGTTCGAGTTGAAGGAAGCCTGATCGAGACTTGAGTGGGATTACAGGGTTCGCCTAATCGAAGCTGCTGCACGTAGGCACACGCTACGGTATGAAATAGGCAAGGGGGAAAGGGGTCGAGTGCTTCGATCTTCAACATCTTGGCTGTCATCGCCAGAGCCAGGCGGGATAGTCGCCCAACTGTCCATGTGTCTACAAGTAGAGATAATTACACCTTCATATGGCGGAATAGCCCAAGCCGTTCCCAAACGGAGGGTGCTTTGGTACTTGCCGTTAAGCGGCACGGCTTATTCTCAGTTCACTATCAGAGATTATGTGTGTGACGTACAACATAGACGCGTGCAATGTGCAGTCTTAACCTAGCTGGGTGGGTACAAGTATGCAAGAGCTTGTTGACCATGCGATATTCTTCGCCGTGGTTGAAACATTACACATTCTTCGCTCGAAGGGAGGGTTTGCAGTGACGAGAGCTGTTACTTTTAGTTCTTGAATATATAACTCAAATATAAAAAAATTGGAAGGTGTGATGACCAAACAGACTTCCTGAGATAGTTCCAAGAGGCGCCAAGGTGCTGGACTGAGAGACAGGAGTTCTTACGCAGTCAACATTGTCGCTGTGGGCAGTATTCGGGTAGAAAATCGTTTGTATCGATGACTAGAGAGCTTCTTCGGTTAGATGACTCTGCCCGGATCATTACGACTAATAAAGGCTCTATCTTAAAGAGTGGTTCCGTCCAGCCAACTGGACGGAGAAAAAGGGAGCTGTGACCCATTAAACACAGATATTTGCCCCTAATAACCAACTATTGAGAAGGTATTTCTCAACGCCAAGAGGCGTTGATCCTCGATACCCAAAGATGTTGACCCTCAACGGTCTGTGAGGAAGAAGGAGCAAAGGAAGCCATAACAGTGTATGAGATATAGATAGATTCCAAGCAGGACCATCTGGATGAAAAAAGCTCTTCAGTCAGCAATACAAACGGTTGTCTATTCAACTGGTGATCACAACGATCATTCTGACTGTGTGAGATCTCCTGTCTCTCAAGTCCAGCGGCCCGGCACCTCTCGAGCCCATCTCAGCAGGCCTGTCCGGATCGTCACAACCGGGCAAGCTAAGCTAAAGGGGGTCTGATTCCCTGCAACGCAAAGAGACCGCAGCTCGCGGCGCAGGAAAGCTGTGGCTCCATTGAGCACGCCTTTGCATATTTTCCTCGGGAAGCGAGAGAGAGGAAGGCCCAGAGGGACAGTCTCCAAGAGGACTAGAGGGTCCAGAAGACCCAAGCAAATACGAGGAGAGGCCTTGGGATAGTTTTGGGATCTCCCGTCTCCTTTCCTTTTTTGTGACGCTCGATATTCCTTGTCAGATATGCCTTCGTAATTGTTAGCAGAAATATCTCCACTTGCTGTTCATTGCCGGATTTTTGCTCGTCGAAGATCTCTTGTTGAACTTGTTCGTCAAGAATAGGCGAGACGTGACTGGTACAGTTTGAGAAATCGTTAGTGGTGAGTATCCTGATGATAATTGAGGACGTGTTTGGTGATAACCATAACGGCAGGGCAGGCATGTCAACAGCCTTCGAGTATAAATAGGGATATAGAATCGCTCATTCCTAGGGTCAGGATGAGAACTCTTCACTCAGCAATAGAAACAGTTATTAGTGCTTTATTGGTGCTGATGATTTTCTATCCTTCTGATTAGCCGACTTCTGATCGTAACAAACCTCCCGGTTGGCTAACACTCCGGCTGTAATGCTTGGTGTTGCGGCTCTGGTGAGGACCAGCAGCCTCTCCGCGGCAGTGGCAAGAGGACCAATGAGGAAGCCCCGAGCGGTGACGGATAGCGGGCCTATCAAAGGCAGGGAAGATTATCGCCGCTAAGAACAATCAATCATCAACCCAAACCGTTATAACCAACAAGGGTATCACGCGGGAAAAGCGGAGCCGGGCACAAAGGAGCAATAAAAGAAAATGGCCCATGCGGCCCTGAAAGGTCGTCAGGCCAAGAAGAACTTCTGTTCTGTTATTTCATAGCCATTCCAGTCGACAGTCGACACTTCTCGCCTTTATGATAGCCAGCCTTCTGCTGGATGCGTAGCAAAATTCGAGCGATGTGTAGGTGGCTAACGCGGATAGCTGGATTCATCCTATTTACTTGAAATAGACAATGTGCATAGCGTGGAACTTGGAAGAACACAATGTTCATTGACAGGGTAGAGCGGGTTCGTCCCTCGGTTGTCTTATTTTTTTTTTTCGTGATTGCGCGTGTTCCTTTTGATTTTCAACCCAACCCAACTTTGATGGGTGAACAACCGAGTTAGCTGACCAGCTAACTTCCAATCCTTCTGTCTTAGATTACTAGGCATCTTGTCTTGTGATAAGAGGAAGCATATTTTCTAGGTTGGGCATGGTGAAGAGACTGATAAGTTCTAACTAATCAAGTAAGGGGTATCATTCCATCTCGTTATTCTATGTACATCTTTCTCGCTGTCTGCCTGTCTTCTTGGGAGACCCTTGTGCCCCTAAAACCTAGCACAGACCTAGGTAGGTAGGTAGGTAGGTAGGTAGGTAGGTAGGTAGGTAGGTAGGTAAGGTAAGGTAGGTAGGTAGGTAAGGTAGGTAGGTAGGTAAGGTAGGTAGGTAGGTTGATAGGTACCGTAGCAATACCTAAACTGAAGCAAAGCAAAAAGACATTACACTCAATACTACCCTTTCCTTCTTTTTGCGACTCTCTCAGGACATAACTCCCATCCCTCCTCCCATCCGTAATTTTTTTTCCCAAGTAGGTAGGATTCGGGATAGTAATATCTCATCTCCTATCCCTCCTCCTATCCCCCCATCCTTCCATCTACCCAGCCCTGGTCCATGTCTGTGCCTTCAACGCCCTGCTAGCCAGCCATGATAACGGCAATGCATGTATGCCAGTAATGTAACATAATGTAATGTGATGTCTCAGTCCCAGCCGCCATTGTCGCCCCATATATGTATGTATACACTTGGTCAAAGTATAAAAGACCAACGCCAGCGATGTTTTTTTTTTTTTAAAGGGGGATATCAATTCTCAAAACAAAAACGGGTATCCAAACCCATCAACGCCATGTACACCAGTCCAGCCAAGTCCAATGCGGTCAGTCCATCAGAAGTTGATAATCCATCATTGCCAACCAGCCAATCAATTGATGATGGGTAGGGTACTCATCCTCTTTTGCATCTCACGTCGCCGCAACAGAAGGAGCAACCGCTTCCTCACCGTCAGACGACGAACTCACAATCTTCACAGGCTTCTTCTCCTGCTCCTTCTCCATAACCTGCAGTTCCTTCTTCTCGGACGCCTTAAATCCTGCCATCTCCTTGGCCGACTTGGGTGTCTTGGGCTCGCGCTCATCAGAATCATCCTCGGTGGAAGACGACGACAAGGCGGGCTCAAGCGCAGGCTGAGACGATGCGGATGATGGCACGGGCGACGGGATAGCAACGCTGCTGTTGCTGCTACTGTTGGCAGTCGTGACAGTGGTGCTGGTCTCAGAGGAGGGGACCTCCTGGCTTTTGACCGAGGCAGACGAGGAGGAAGCAACCGCGACGGCGGTGCACACCGACGACGAATTCCTCTGATGCTTGGGGCTTGGGGCAGCAGCCTGGGACTGCTCATCCTTCTGGATCGACTCGGCAGGAGGGGCAAGCACTTCATTCAGCGAAGTGGCACCCTCCTCATCGATCCGCGACTCAATCGACATAAACGAGCTCCTCTTGGGGCTCTTGAGCGACGCGACATCTCCACCCAGAGAGTACTCACTCCTCAAGCTACCCCGGGACATACGCGCGGGGCTCTTGGCAGGCAGCGGGGGCGGCACGCGCTTGGGGATGGTGACGATGGCGCCCTTGGCCTGGATGACCTGGGCGACCTGGGTAACTTGGGGTTTAGCCTGCAGGGAGCTGCGAGCGGGCTGGACCGTGGCGGTGGCCACCTCGACCTCGCAGATGATGGGTTCTTCCTCATCTTCCTCTTCATCGTCGGCATCCTCCTCGAGGTCATCGGTCGAGTCGGACTGCGGGGTGGGCGGGTTCTGGGATTCCTCCAGCGCGGGTTCGGTTGTTTTGTTAGCTTGCGAAGGCTCAGGCGCTGACTCCTTCTGTGCTAAAACGGACCGGGCCGCCTCGGCCTTGGGCGTCTCTGTGGCCTCCTCCTCCTTGGTCGGCTCGGTCTTGGGCGTCTCCGTGACCTCCTCCTGCTCCTTGGCCGGCTCGGTCTCCTCGGCGACCTGGGCCAAGGCGGGTGCCGGACGCGGCTCCATGGTGCGGCGCTTCAGCCGCTCCAAAATGCTCGTATCGACCTTCGTATAGTCGATCTCTTCGGGCTCGACAACGGTAGGCAGCTTATCGATGCCGTCCTTGCCGTCGTCGCTGTTGTTAGTGTATGTCGTATCGGCGGTGCTGGCCACGTCAGTCGGCGCATAGCCGTCGGTCATGGCGGTAATCTGAGTACGAGAAGACATAACACTGCCGCGGTTGCTCCTCGATACAAAGGTATCGATGCTCTGACGGAAGCGAGCCGAAATAGGGCTCATGGGGTTGCTCGGGTGGTAGTCCAGCTGGGTGCTAGCCGGGCGGGACTTGCTGCCAGCCTCGCGGATCTCGATGCCGGCCATCTCAAGACTGATAATGCCGAACGGGTCGGGGTCGTTGGCGTCGGGGATGCCAAAGGCAGATGACTTGGGCGGGGTGGTCACGGGGGAGACAGGGCACTCGATGTCGGCATCGCCAGGGGCCGGCTGCTGAGCCAGCCACGACATGAGCGCCTTGTCGTAGTCGGAGCGGCCCTCAGCCGCCTTGATGACCTCAAACAATGGCCTTATTTCAGGAACATTCTTGGGCACGTTGCCGGCGAGGATGTCAAGCACCGACACACCGGACCGGTAAAACCGCTCGTTCTCGTTACAGCGCTCCACTACCAATGACCCATCCAGCTGCACGGCCTGGTGCCTGCCCCTTGCTTTCACGTACGTCAGGACGGTATCGCTGATCTCCTTCCATTTAATCTCGGGCTCCGGACCGCCGTCGGGAACCAGGGGTCCAACATCCAAGTTGACGTCGACACCCAAGATTAACCGCGGGCGGGTAAAGAACTCGAGGGTCTGTACGCTGTTGATAACCAGCACGCAGTCGTAGATGTCCACACCCATGACGAAGGCCAGCTCGGCAGTATGTAGAATGATGCCTGAAGGCGGCGACCAGGTGCCGTCAGCCTTCCGAGCGGTGATCAGGCCGGCTCCTCCGGACCCCGACATCCACAATCCGGAGCGCATGCACGAGAAAATCGCCAGACCGACGGCATTTTGGATGATTCGTGAGGGGATACGCTTGATAAGGAAGCGGGTCGTCTGCGTCTCGTCTTTTGACTTTTCTTCGGACTGGGCCTTTTCTTGCGCTTCAGGGGTATCGGAAGGCAGCTCTTCGGAGAGGAAACCATCAACTATTCCATGTCAGCCTTTGTCACGACCGGAAACATCGGACATAACACACAGCAAAAAGATTTAAGAATGCGGGCTGCTTTATCGCATTCTCTGTCGAGAGTAGTGGGCCAGTAGTCTTCGCGGCGGTAGCGGACCGAGGGCGGCGTCGCGGGAGCAGTGCTACGGGCAACGGGTACAATCTTCTCGGCCCAACCGAACACCCGATCCAAAGGGCCAGGAGTCTTGGGACCTGGTTGTTGCGATGGTGGTTGCGGCTGCGATTGCTGCTGCTGTTGCTGTTGCTGCGTTTGCTGGGTCTGCTGCTGCTTCAACCTGTCCCACGAGGGGAGCAGGGCCGAGACGCGGTACATGGCGAGCTCGAGCCCTCAGGAGCGACGGGGAGCTGTCAAGTGTCCGGGATTGCGGTGTCGATTTCGGTCGGGAACGGCCGTCCTCGTCGTCGTTCGTTCTCTCGTTCGTCCTCGGGCAGCAGTTTTGTTTGTTGAAGAGCAAAAGGGCACGATCGAGTATCGAGTCCGGCGGACGAACGAACGGGGGAGGGGGGGGGGGGAAGGAGGAATCGAGTTTTACTTTTCAATGGCTAGCAAGGGCGAAGCCGAAGCGAAGGTCAACCAGTCCACCGGAGACCGCAAAGCGACCCAGGAGAACCCCAGGACGACCCAGAATGACGTGGGCCGGAGCGGCGATCCCGCCCAAATAGCGCAGCCAGGCCCAGCCAGGCTCCGTCGAGCCCCGTGAAGACCAGCCAAAGCCAGCCAAACAGTCCAGTGAGAGCGCAGTCAGGCCCACGCCGCTGTGCAGCCAAGCCCAGGCCAACCGGAAGCGCCAGGGATGCGAAAATCAGTTCAGAGAGCTGCTGCCCAGCCCGTGATGGGATGCAAGCAGAGGTGCAGCGCAGTCGTGCAGGGCAGCAAGCCAGCAGCTCAGTTTCTCGTTTTCTTTTTTCGCTATCCGTTTTCTCGATTTTCTTGGCTGGAACGTCAGCTATGTTGCTACCGATGCCGTCGTCGCGCCGATGCAACGGAACCCTAGAATGGTAGCGGGATGTCAAAGTAGGGTCTGGCAAGTCCAGATTAACCCGTTGCGTTGTCGTCTTTTAGATTTTAGATTCTCGGGCCCCGCAGTTCCTTCGTGTCGGACAGATGCAGTGTGCAGCACCGTTATGCAGGGGCCAAGGCAGAGGTATGCACTCAATACTTGTATGGAGACTTGAGGGACCTGAGGCAGAGGAGAAGAGAGTAGAGCAAATGGGGAGAAAGAGGGACAAAAGGCAAGAAAATAGACAAAAAAAATTTTTTTCAGTTGGACAAAAGTTTAAGGATCAAGCACTTGACTGTGAATTGGAGCTCAACGAGAACGAGAGCACACAAGTGACGGGAGTTCGGAGCAAAAGCTTGCGCGAGCATGCGAGCCATGCCGATCACAGCCTGCCTGACTCTCTTGAACTCCAGTCCTGTTGGTCTGACACGGGCACGACGCCACGTTGGACAGTAAGGGCAGCAGTGTGTCACGTAGACACGCACCATCAGTTAGCAATCCTGGTCTGTTGGCTGACCAGACTTAAAGAAAGAAAGAAACCTCTACGGAGTACCTCCATTTCACCAAGTTCGTTCCATCCACCCTCAAAAACAGCAATCTCAACACAGGACCGATGGGAGCTGCATCTTTGTCCTGCAGCCCCAGATAAAAACCAAAGCCGAGGACCCACAACCAGTGGTTGGTCAGCCATGGGTCCACCCACTGAAAAGGCGGCTCCATTTCCAAGGCCCACCGCGTGGCTCCGTCCCAGGTGGTCAGGAAGGATGTGGCCGGTGCTCAGGACCGGGGGCCCCAAAAAATGAAAGGACGCCAAAAGTGGAATGTGCGGGTCCAGAGTTCCTGTTCCTGTTCCTGGACTGGCTGAATTGACGTGGTGTTGCGCGTGCCAGTAGTGCTGTCGTGCCTGGTTCCTGCATTGGTTTGGTGGAGCCTTTTTTGCCCTTTTTTTTTCCCCTTTTCTTTTCCATCGTCAGCTCTGTCTGCTCCCGTGAAAAAAAAAAAAAAGAAACAGAGTTGGGATGAGGGAAGTTCTCTGACAACTAGCACCAGCAAACGCACGTCACCATCACAGCCGTTGGGTGAGCTGCATCCATCCCTTCCATCCCGGCCGCCAGATGCGGGAGCCCGGTCGGTGACGGCAGGGACACGCCTGTTTGCCATCGGCATTCACATCCACGTAGGATCCACTCCAGTCTTGGTGCTTGGGTGCGTGCATTTGTGAGGGGGACTTCTCCAAGGTTGGGCTTGGAGTTTGAATGTCGTCATTGCTTCTTGCGAGGGGAGAAGTAGCACGACGAACTGCAGTGTTTTTGTCTGCACTGCAGATGGGTAACCAGGTCGATGAGAATGTTGAGGAAAGAAAATATCCCGAGGAATATGTAGGATTTGGTGAGGCAGCAATCACTTTGCCTGCTTGAGGGTTGATGCTGTCCAAAAGGCACAGACATGCTCTCTACAATAGCAAATAAATATCTTACTTACTAATGACTGAGTCCTTACCGCGGTCTTAAAAACAACTTGTCCTCCTTTCCTCGAGGATTGTTGCAAAGCCATATTGGAAAACCGAGGGAGTGTCAGAGAAGGAGAGAGAACTAAGCAACGCCGCATCATCGAATCTCGATCCAATCGCCGCAGACCCCCTCAGATCTCCCGCCGCACGTCATGACGCCACACCACGAGAAGTGGTCGATCTGCGGCTTGGAATAAGAAGGCTGGACGGGACGATCTAAGATATGGATGGCTTATCAGGTGAGACGAGAGGAGATAGCGACGCAGATTGCAGGCAGTTGGCCGAGGACAGCCGAGTCCCAGTATTACCAGTATCACATTCTCCTTGTGACGCTAACCAGAAGCAAACATGAAGGAGATCATTCAACTCCAAACAGCTACCAAGATCTCTCATTTCACATTCTTAACCCCCCTCGGTCAGGACTTTCTTTTCCTGCAAGCCTCTCCCGGTCAGTCACACATGTTCAACCTCGACAATTAAACTACCTATCAATTTTACAAATCGAAATAAACACTACCTCAAATTTTGCCGCCAAACGGACAGCTCATGTAATCCCCATCCCACGGCATGGTCTTACCACCACCTATTGCTATCAACTTCTTGCCCCTTACCCTATCCTACCTAAGTTAATGTCCCAGAAACCTGGTGTAACCCATAAGGCAGTACAGAAAAATTTTCGACACACGGACTCACCTCACCGCATGTTTTCTCGGTGATCGTCAAGCTGAGGTAGGCAAGTAGGTAAGCAAACCAGGATAATGGTACCTTATTGTCTCGCTCTGTATCCCTCGGACATATGATTATTATGAACATTCCATTTCACTTGGCCAGTCAGTTAGTCAGACGCACGACACGGAGGTAAGTCGGTAGCTGAGTAAGCAGCTATGCTTTTTTTTTGTTGGTTTTTTTTTTTTTGGTTTTTTTGCCTATACTTGCCTTTATGTGAGCCCAATATTGATCGAGTCTTCTGGCTTGGGTAGGAAAGTTAGTTACTATGTACTAGAGAGAGAGCAAGATAGAAGTTCTATGGCTCCCTGAAGATGTTCAATCAATCAACTAGCGGAGACTGCGAATTGGGTTTGCTTATGTACCTATCCCCGGTTCAGTCGAATGCTCTGGTATTGAGTAGAGTTGATGGCACCTACTAGTACGATTTGGTAAAATAAACAATATATTCAGATCTGTTATATTTTAGGCGTAAAGGAAAGCTTCCAAAAACCCTTTTCTGATCAATTAATTTGGGCTGGCTGGCCGACCGTCATGGCAGACTCGACACCATGCATCTTCTATCATTCTCAGCAACGGCAACACGGCCTCATGTGGGTAGGTACTTGCGTACTATGTAGTCAGGAATTAGGAACCAATAACTGTTTACCTGGACAACCATTAATAGCAATAGAAGCCAGAAGTTGTCATATGGTCGCAACTATATATCTTGATGATCCGAACAAACTCTAGTTCTTTCAGAGAACAGAAAGCTCAGATACTTTCGACCGACTAGGTAATGTTTGAGCCATTGAGAACTGGCTCAGGAAAGATAGAGGACAAACTTAGCATACAGCTGACGAAGTAGACATGTAGGTAGGTCAGCTACCTTAGCACGCTCACTCTCCACAGCATGCAATTTTCTTCAGGGCTCAGGATGTGAGCAATCCATAGACACCTCAAGCACACATTCCAAAACTAGACAAATGTAAGGTTGTGTCGAAGCCAATCTAAGCAGGTATCCATTAAGTTCTTCCTTGGGGAAGCTGCTCTCTATCTATCCTGTGCATCAACTCAAACTCAAACTCAAACTCAAACTCAAACTCAAACTCAAACTCAAACTCAAACTTGGCATGATATGAATCAATGAATCTATCCATCCAACCTAAAGGTTGCTGAAGAATGTCAGACAACCGATCATGATACCATCTCCATGCCGTGCTCACTAAAATTCTGCTTGCTTGCTCGCTTGTTGTTGTTGCTCCTTGCTGTGTGTTGTCGAACATCCCATGCTATCTAGGTAAACATGCTGCCGATGCTTCAGCTGTTGCTGGATAGGTAGGTGGTGATTGAAGATAACGATGTTGTCGTTCGTGTTGTTGTCCCCTGGGAATGTCATGCCAGTAATCGAGGAGGGTATTAAACTGTCATGAGAAAAGAAAAAAAAACATAGTGTGTGAAAGAAGAGCTCCAAATCCAAAGTCCAAATCCAAAGTTGACAAAACAAAGAACCGAAAATGGACATATCAAACTTAAAAATCAACCTTCCCCAATTTCCAACCCTTCTAAAGAGAAGCCAAATATGAACGTCATTAAAATAATCCCTAAACATGAAAGCCAAAAAAAAGACAAAACGAACCCCCCGTCATATCTACACTTGTATTCTCATCTCATCATGTTTGCAAGGGTATCCGTCGTATCCAAAAGCAAAACCCCTCATCTCCTTCTTTCATGTTTCCAATCTTTTTTTTTTTTTTTGGAGTCTTTGTAGGAATCGACCCGCCCACCAGGAGCGTCGGGCTATTGTCTCCTAACCATGTTATCCCTTTTTTCCTCCTCCGGTTCAGCCCGCTTAAATCACATCGCCTCGATGGAACCGTCAGTCACATGGCACCAGCCTGAGGGGGCACCGCCGCCGGTCGATTAGCAACAAGCGGGTACTCCCCTCCATGAATCAAGAACCTCTCGACAACACTCGAATCAACCGCCTCAATGCAAGGCGACGCAGGGCGGGAAGTCAGTCCCGACGAGGATGCCACCGACGCAATCGCCGAAGACGTCGACGACGCTTCACTCGTCCCCGTAGAAGCAGAGGATGTGCCCGACGCAGTAGACGAAGCACTCTGCCTCCTCGAGCTACTCGTCGAGCTAATCGTGCTACCCAATCCCTCGCCTGATGCCGGAATCCCCTCTTCCTCCTCATCCTCGCTCTCATTATTCGCCCCCGGGGAGAAGTAAAACACCTCTCTCGCCCCCGCCCCCGCCCTCAACAAACGTCCTGCCTCCATATCCCCTTCCATCGTAAACCTCCTAAGTCTAGGCAACCTTCCTTGCAGGGCAGAAAACAGCCCCCTAAATGTTCCCTCATGCAGGTGCACGCCTCCGACACTCCTCTCCGCAGGGGACCGCACACACCCTCTCCCTCCAAGACGCACCTTTTCCAGGGTGGGCGCGTGACGCAGGAGGAAGGACCGCAGGTCGGGCTCGGAGCAGGATGCGCCTTCGATATGCAGGGATGTGAGGGACGGGAAGGAGAACGCGCTGCTGGTAGAGTCTGCCGTTGTGGGGGAGGAAAGGGGGAAGAGTTCGCTAAAGTCGAGGTTGAACTTTGCGCGGGGGGCGTCCGCGGCGCGGAAGGCGAGGGTGAGATGAGTCAGGGTTCCGGAGGAACCACAACGCTGAATGAGGTGGCCTAGGGAGGCGACGGCGCAGAGACGGCCGCGGGGAGGGAGCTGTGTGGGTGCGTGGTCGATTACGAGGGCAAGTCTGGTCAGAGAGGAGACGGTTTTTGACTCGGCGAGATCGAGCCATGCCTTGCGTTCTTCCTGGTGACGGAGGATTTCGAGGGGGAGGGGGTTGATCGAGAGGGAGGTTAACGACTGGGAGACGGAGCAGAGGGCGGCTGCCACGGCGCTAAGCGAGGCGCGGATCTGGTCCCGTGGCCGCCGGCAGAACGGGCGGGCGCCGGCGCAGCCCAGCTTGCGGAAGAGGATCGGCTCGTGCGGGGCGGAGCTCAGGGTGATGGCGACATGGCGGAGGTTGGGGAGCTTGGCGAGGGCGGACTTGAGGGCGGCGGTTTTCGTGTGGAACGGGGTCAAGCGGATAGAAGGCCAGGGCTCGTCATCTTCGTCGGTCTCGGCGTCGGAGGAATGATGGTCATCGGAGAGGTTGGCGCCCTGTCGGAACCTCGCAGCGAGCTGTTCGTCTGAGGAGCGGCGAAGTTGTTGAGGACTCGAAGGCTGGCTGGCTAGCCGGGCACGTAGGGCATCGGATGGATCGTCTTTTGAGACGGCAAAGGTGATGGAGCGGATGCTGTGACGCAGACGGGGATGATTGGCAATGCAGCGCAGGCGGTCGACGTCGTCTCGCCATTCGCATGCGGTAAAGTGCAGATCAACAAGATAGTCGTAGCCTACGTCGGCGAAGGTGGGCGACACCAGGCGCAGTGCCCTCACGGAGGGAACATCGCAGTGGTCATAGATGAGGCGGATCAGCTCGACGGGTAGTTTGTCCATGATGACGGTGGGAGCATGCCCTGGTTGACGGGCAAGAAAAAGCTAGGTAGTCGTTGAGAAATGGGCAGGATACCCAGGACTCGCGATGCGATGTGAGCAAGATAGGGTTGAGGTAGTTTATATTCCGTGTCCGCGGCAGATCGGAGTCGGCAGTGGATGCAGTTGGCGGCCGGCCAACAGAGCGAGCAAGCACCAAGCAACAGCTTAAACTCGCTTCAATCACTTACGGCTGCGGGAGACGATAGTGGACAGGCTGGCAGGGCGGGCAGGGCGAGCAGGGTGAGCAGGACGAGAGGAAGTGTAGCCTGTACACTGTAGCTGGTGGTTGGGCAGGGCGTGGTGTACACATACATATGCACGATTTGTCGATGGCGTCCCTTGCGTTAGCGGATGGCGACGGCGGCCAAGGGACAAGGAGACAAGGACATGGAATGGGCATAGAACGGACACCGAAAGTTTGGCGACGGCGAAAGAGAGCAAAGTCGGTGAGCTGAGCTCACGGCAAGCAGAGAGGCTTTGCTGGGCCGGGATGGGCCAGTTCCAAGCAACCTGCTTCAAAGCGCCGTTGCATTGGCGATTGGCGGGCTGCAGGGCCCGCCACTCGCACGCCACGGAGACGCTGTGACGGCCCATCAGTGACCCACTGGCGGGGGTTTTGGCTTGCTTTGGTTGGCGGCCGAGGAGCTTGCCTGGGTACCAGGGGCCTCGGCGGGCGCTGCGTCCCGGCAGCATGGAAAGGCGGTGGGCGGTGAGCAGCTCAGACCGTCAGCGCAGCGGCGGGCGGCATCACCAAGGCTCTGGAGCGATACAGTGGCACCGAGCTGGGTGTGGGTGTGTGTGACGAGGTGCAGCGTCGCAGCAGCAAAACCGATTGGGTTTGACTGCGACGCTGCTGCTTGCTTTGTATTGCTTTGCTTCAAAAGGTTGTGCTTTGCTTGAAATCAAGCTGGATTGATGGCCTGCGGTGATGCGTGACGCCATGATCTCGGAGCGAGCATGCTATCCATGGGAGATTGATAAGGTGATGCTATTCCCAGTCTCCAGACTCCCTGCACGTGAGGAATCCCCAACGCGGCCGACCTGCAGGCCACGCAAAACATCAACAAGCTAACGCTGTGAGTGAGTTTGGCGGTCGCATCGGCGATCTGAGTTGGCTGCCTGCAATCCAGTCGGTGGAGGACCAGAGCCAGAGCCGTCGATGGAGATCGGGTCTTGTGCGGGTAAGTAATGAGGGTCCTCTTGGCGGTGACGCTGCCGCCAAACAACTCGTCGGTTCCTGACCCGTCAACACCGACACCGAAGCCGACGCCGATCAAGCTGTCACTTGTCATTCGGTTTCTGTTCTGTTCAATGTCGAGGACTTTCGTGACCGCCAGACCCCGGCATCCTCGGTTCGTCGCGGGCATCATATCCCACGCTGCGATCACCTTCAATCCATGGTAAACCGTAAACCGGAAACTGTACCCTCAACCTCCATCATATCCATATCCATGTCCCCCCAGTGTAACCATCTGCACGGCAGCGCAAATTTTTGCTGTGACAGCGTGGTCTGCACCGATGCGACTGGTTTCCGGGATTGCTGGGATCTGGAGACCGTCGGATTGACGTGTCCGTTGCCCAAGTGTCGCCCTGTTACCCTGTTACCCGGTCGCCCTGCTCCGAGCTTTCTCAACGAAAATGGCGGGCAGCCGACGGGCGCCGGATGGATCAACTCCTACGAGCCTTTGTTTCGCAACCTCTCAAGTGAAAAGCTCAAACCAAAATTCCGTATCCGTAATTCGTGAACGTCATCTCTCCCAGGGCCTCTTAGGTACGTAAAAAACATGCTCACGCTCTGTAGCAATAAGTGAATTCTGCAACTGCGCCCAATGTCTCATTCGGGCTGCACAGCACCTCAGCTGGCTGCCAATGATCCGATGCCACCATCAAAAGCCGTAAGCTTCAACTTGCATCGGGTTTGTTGCCATCCATTGTGATGGAGCTTGAGCTTGAGCCTGGATTTGAACCAAATTGTCGGGGCCTTGACGACTCGAAAAGTCCCCAACGTCCGCGGCTGTCCACTAAGCCTTTGCCTTTCGCTGACGGCTGCTCCACTGGCCGCATCTCGTTGGATCACTGCTCGTCGAATGGAGCCTTTCTCACCGCCCTGTCTCTCTTGTCTCTCGCACTCGTCTCTGTTGCGAGAAGGGAAGGGGAAAGGGGGGGGGGGGCAAGACGAGATCCCACATCAGCCGGTTTCGGGACTCGACGGAACCAGAAAGAGAGAGAAGCAAAAGAGGCAAGCCTGCTCATTTGATCCGGTTATTTGCAACAGCCTCCTCTTACCAGAGCCGAACTTCCCATAGCAGCGAAATCTTGAGATGGAAATCCAAAAAAAAAACCTGTTGATCGTACACGTCTTGGCAAATCGAAGGCTTCTAGCCTTTCTTGGCGAGCCCTGCGAGTGGGTCCTCCCCCACAAAATGGACGGGCACGGGCCATTCTAGGCACACTTGTGGGCCCTTAGCCCATCCCATCACGTATACGTTCTGGGCGAACAGGAAAACTGGCAACAATGCCGACTGGCCGCCTGCTCTTGGGAGTATCCTGATCTGCCAGCCAGTGGCAGCCTGTTTCGGGCAGTGTCAGCTGGCAGTTTGCGCATTCTATCACTGAATTTAGATTGAAATCATCCAATCCCAGGCGTTCTTTCATTTCCCCGGCAGGCTGCATCGCGGCGGGCAGCAGCACAAGACCCAAGACACGAGGGAATCACGGGGGGGAAGTTCGGGGGAGTGCTGCCAATCGTAACGTCGAACGACATCTGAAAGCCTGAGGCTCCTGAGAAGCAGACACTCGACAGCCCCAAAAGCGAGCGCTTGCGCAGTGCATGAAGGTCTAGGCCATAGTTGACGGACGACAGATACTGCTCCGGATAAAACAGGCCACTCAGGAGCAACATCTCAACATTATGAGCCAGAAACGCATGAGACAGCCCGAGCAGAACTACGCCAGGTCCTGAAAGCCATTGAGCTTGATCCTTGCTCTACTCTGAACACTCTAGACACAAAGAAAATATACCCATCTACCTACCACAATGCTATAATCGACCCAACACCATGGGAATCTCGAGTTTGATCGGATCGTCGAGCGGGCGTCTGATGAAGCGCCCATCGCTGCGCAGTCTCTCCTCTTCCGTTGCCCCGCCTTCCCCGCCTGACCACCAACAACACGACGACGCCTGCTCTCATCCCCTAGGCCGTTCTGGTTCCCGTTCCCGTTCTCATTCCCACAGCAATCACCACATCACCGACGCCGACGACCTTCCTCCCCTCGACCCCGACCCACCGGACCTGCGCGAACTAAACAACTGTCTCGACGCCCTCGCCGCAATCTTCCCCGATGTTCAGGTCGAGGTCTTCCGCGAGATGCTCGCGTCCTTCGACGGCGAGTCGCGCCTGGCGCTGGCTGCCGACTCCCTACTGAAGAACCGCGCGCACTGGGTAAAGGGGCGCTGGAGGGTTCCTGATAAAGATACGAGGGAGAAGGATAAGGATAATAACGAAGAAAGAGGGGTGTTGGTGCCGAGGAAAGAGACGTTTCGCACGCCGGGGTACAAGAAGGCTGCTAGGGACCTGCTCTGCCGCGAGTTCAAGGGTTTGTCGAAGTCGACTATTGATGCTGTCCTAGCGGAGTATAATTACTCGTATATGGATGCGCGACCGACGCTGGCCCAGTTGGCGACGAAGTCCTGGCGCGCAACCATCTCGTCGCTGTTCACGCGGCGCAAGCCTGAGACCGGCATCAATCTGGCGAAACACCCGCTCGTGGTCTGGAAGTCTCCTGCCGTGCAAGGCGCGCCTGCGATTCCTGCACTTAAGTCGTCTGGCAACGCGGAGCTCGACCGCGAGCTGTACTACGCCTTGATTCATCCACACCTGGAGAAGATACGGTCGGAGACCGAAGCTGCTGATCGCGCGCTGGCAGCTGAACTTAACGCCGCTGAGGCAGCCGCCGCAGACAACCTCGTCGAGTGTGCATGCTGCTTCGCGGAGAGACCTTTCGAGGAGTTTACCGCCTGTACGGCGCAAGGACACACCCTCTGCTTCGAATGCGTCGGAGCGACCCTCAAGGAGGCTGTCTTCGGCCAGGGCTGGGCAGCCAACGTGCTGCCCGAGACAGGTTCGCTGAAATGCTTTGCTGAAGCAGACTGCATGGGGCGCATCACTGCTGAGCAAATGCATCGCGCAATGATGGGCCACGAGAACGGCGCTACCATTCTTCACCAGCTCGAGGTGAGGTTGGCTAAGCACAACCTCCTCGAGTCTAATCTCCCCCTAATCCATTGTCCCTTTTGCGAATACGTCGAGGTGGACGACGTCTACGTCCCGGGCGTGCACGATCGTCCGCGACAGCAACAGCAACAGCAACAGCAAAGGCCTCAACAGCAACAGTCTCTCCCTGTGCTACGGCAAACCCTCACCCACTCGACAACCCTACTCCGCCTTCTACCTGCTCTCCTCCTCCTCTTCCTCCTCCTGACCCTCTTTTCCTTCCCCCGAAGCCTCTTCCTCTCCCTCCTCCTCACCGTCGCCCATCCCGTCGTCTTTCGCATCGCTTATCTGGCTTTCTTTTCTACCAACACCCCGTTCTCCGCACAATTCCAATACCTATTCCTCCTCTGGCAACGCATCGAATCCGAACTCGCTGCCGCCCTGCAACGCGTCCGTCGCCGCCGCCGAGGTCTGCGCTTCCAGTGCCTCAATCCAGCCTGTCGGCGTGCGTCCTGTTTGGCGTGTCACAAGGTCTGGATCGATGTGCATATGTGTCATGAGAGCGCGATTACTGCGCTCAGAACGCAAATCGAGATGGCCATGAGCTTGGCTGTGAAACGCGTCTGCCCGAGGTGCAATACCGCGTTTGTAAAAGAACACGGGTGTAATAAGTTGACGTGTCCGTGTGGGTATGTCATGTGTTATGTCTGCCGGAAGGACATCTCCCCTTCTTCCTCTGCCGACGACAATAACGATGAGGGGGAGGGACGGGAAGTCGGCTACCGACATTTCTGTCCACATTTTAGACCGGAAGGGGATGGGAGGAAGTGTTCGCAGTGTGACAAGTGTAATTTGTGGGAGCAGGAGGATCAGGATAAGGTTTTGGGACGGGCGAGGGAGGAGGCGACGAGGAGGTGGGTTGAGCAGGCTAGAAGGGAAGGGGTTAGTGAGGAGGAGGTGGAGAGGTTGTTGAGGGAGAGTGGGATAGGCGAGGGGGGGTTAGGGGTGGGGGTTGCGGTGATGCAGAAGTCGACAACGACAGAGATTCAGCGCATGAGGGCGAGGAGGAAAGGGTTAACGTTAGGGGATGTGGCAGAGTGGATTGCTGAGTGGTGGGTTGATTATGAGTAAGGAGTTGGGTTTGTGGGATGGATGGTGAGTTGGTTGAGTGATCGATTGAGATACCCAGTGTTGTGTCTGTCCTTACTGCATGTTTTTCGTTTTCTTTTTTCTTTTTTTTTTGGACTTGGTTTTCTTGGGGGAAGGGTTTCTTTTCTTTTTCTCTTTTCTTTTTTTCTTTCCTTCTCTCATCAAGCATGGCGAGTTGGACGAGTGAACCATTGCATGATACCATAGTAAGACTAAGAAACATCAGGTCGCATAATAGGTGCATTTTAATACTCAACTCGATTTTTAATCCGCTTCCACTGCGTAAGTGACATGATGACCGACATATGTTTGATTACTTCACTCATCTCTCGACTTCAACCCTGGACCCTAAGCGCGACTGAGAGGCCCTGAAGTTGAGAACCTCAACGGCCGCCTTGGCGCCAAGAGAGCGTCCCGCTCTGTGAGTGGACCACCTGTGGAGAAGTGGGGCATCGCGCTCAACGCGTCGAGTTCAATCAATGGGGGGGAGCTCTAATTCCCTTTCCTATCATCACTTCATGACTGATGTCATCACCTCTACAACCGTCTTTTGCCAAATCGATGATCGATACTTCGATCTAAAAAATTTCCCAGAATCCGGCTATAACCAATCCCCATCCAGAGGGAGCAGAAGAAGAAACGAAAGACAGTATTTTAATGTGCTGCCGATTCGAACCGCTGGGGACGCTGCTGCTGTTTGTTCAACATTTGCGCGATCGGAGAGAGGGGAAGAAGAAAAAGAAGCGGAGTGCTGGTAGTGCTTGTTCGACGACTCCAGCGACGACGAATTATCCTTCTGGAAGAAGGAAGCTGCAATATAGGAAGTTTGTGAAGTTGAACCGACTGGAAAGGAGGTGATTTACCAGTCGAAGAGGGCGGCGACGACGCACTATTACCTGGGAACAACAGCAACGACTATAGACAAACAAAATCGATCACAGTAACTAACGATTTTGAGACTCGATCGGCTGGAGAGGGGCTTATTCGAATATCTTGAGCAACAACCTGACTCCAAGACGCCCAAAATGCTTCACGAAATCCTCCTCTCCCTCTCCGGCCACCCCTCCCCTCTTCTCTCCCCCTCGCCAACAGACACCCAAGCCCAACACCCCCAATCCCCCCTCTCATGTCTCACACCGCCCGAACGCTCCCTCCTCACATCCCTCGCCCGTCTCAGCACCCTGCATATTTCCCTGCAAACCTCCTCCGCCCAGCTTGCCTCCTCGCACCCCTCCCTCATCGCGCGGACTGTTGCGTCGGCAATCGATACAGTCCACTTGTCAGCGTTCAGACAGACTGTTTTGGAGGTGGAGAGGAAACTTTTGACGGGGGATGCGGGGTTGGTGGGGGGGTATGGGATTGTGCCGTTGACGGCGGTCGTAGGGGAATTTGAGGGTTGGGGGAGGAGGTTGGAGTGGTTAGGGGAGGTGGTGGGGTATTTGGAGAAGGGGGGCCCGAATGGGGGGTGGGCGATGGGTGTGGGAGTGATGAATTGGTTAAGGGGGCAGATGGTTACGGGATTTGGGGACGTGCAGGAGGCGGCGGGGAGGTTAGTTAGCGTGGCCGAGGAGGCGTGGTTGAAGTTGGTCGCGGCGTGGGTGCTTTATGGAAGAGTGCCGAGTGCCGGGGAGGGTGATTTTTTTGTCAGGAGGGGGGAAGAAGGAGATGAGGTGAGTCTTCAAGCCTGGGGATTTTATCGCTTACAGGACGAAGGGATGCTGACTTTGACAGTTCATGACCGATCCGACGCTGCTCCCCTCCTTCGTCACCCCCCATACGGCATCTTCCATCCTCTTCATCGGCCGCTCTTTGAACCAGCTCCGAGCCAAAGCCGTCGCCGACCACACCCTCCGCGGAACAGACCACTTATCCTCGCAACTCACCAAGCTCTCTTCCCTTCAACACCCCCTTGATAGCGCGACCTTCTCTGCGGCCATAGCTGACATCCGGCTGCACCTCTCCCGCCACACCCTCCAACGTCTCTTACCCCTCCCTCGCGTGCTCGACCTGCTCCAGTTGCTGCGGGACTTTTTCTTGCTAAGGAGAGGCGACTTCGCCATAGCGCTGACCCAAACTGCAGGTGAGAAAATGGCCAGCCGCTGGCGCCGGGCCGATAACCTCGCCATATACGAAAACCGAAGGGAATCTACCGGCTTAGGAGGAGTAACGCTCAAAGAAGGCGAGATCGCCGCCGTCCTCTCCAAGACCTGGGCTGCGATGGGCGCCATGCAAGGGTCCCAGGCCTATACCGACGAGGACGAGAGCGTCGAGCGAGCAAGGGGGTTGCTCAAGCTTAGCATCGTCAAGAACCGTCCGGGCACACCAGCTTCTTTTACGGGGGGTGATGGCGGAATATTAGCGGCCATTGCCTCGACGCCGTTCAAAAACTTGTTATTTTCCGTGCCCGTCGTCCTGACAATGGACGTCCCCTCCCCGCTTGATTTGTTCTTGACCCCGGCCGATCTGCAGGTGTATTCGGCGGTTAATGCTTATCTTCTGAGTCTGCGCAGGGCGCATATTAAGCTGACGGAATTGTGGAAGATTAGTGCGCTCCGGAGGCACCATCCTGCCCCGCCGGGGCCGTCGGACAGAAATAGGGGACGGACGAGGCTACTCAGGGGGAGATTTGACGGGCGTGAGAGGGTGCTACGTAATGTGTGGGCTACCGCGAGCGCGGCTATCTTCTTCCTCGGTGAGGTAGAAGCTTACCTCCAAACTGAAGTAGTCGACGTCCTAGAAGAGGGCTTCGTGCGCTGGGTCAGAGGCGAAGAGACTACCTCCAGGCCCGGCACTCGCGCAACCTCCCCCTCCCTCTCGCGACGTGGCGACCCCCCCGAAGACGGCCATGACCACGACCAAGACCCAACCAAATTCCGCGATCCCCAATCCCTCCAAACTTTCCACCACCTCTACCTCACACGCCTTACACACTCTCTTCTGTTAACCTCCCCCCTCTTCACAGATGCCCTTTATGAAACACTAGTCCACATCGACCGCCTCGTCGCGCTAATCACCCGTCTCCACGCCGTCTGGGCAGCAGCTGATCTCGAGGAGGATGCAGGCGTGGTTGATGCCTTCGTAGACCTAGTCAAGGAAGAGCGAGATGTGAGAGGAGAACTAGATGAGGTACAAAAGGAGGTGAGACGCGGTGTAGAGGGGGTTGTTGGCGTGCTGAGGGATATGGAGGGGCGATTTGGGGCAGAAGGGGATGAGGGGGAGAAGGAAGGAGGGGAGGATGTGGTTATGAGGGAGAGGGGGGAGTATGTACCGGGTCGGGTGGGGGGTGTGGAGAGGTTGGTTATGAAGTTGGATTTTGGGAGCTGGTTTCAGGGTGCGGGGACTGGGAATGGAATTGGAGGGAAAGGGGTGGGGGAGGATGAGGAGATGTTTTAGGGATAAGCAACAGGCTCGGATGGGTAATGTTTTTTTTTTTTGGTTTGTATGAATTGTTTGGTTGGTTTAGATGGTATGTTAATGAGGAATGGTAAGAGGTTAGGCACATGTGTTTGGAAGGGTTGTTCCTGAGAGCTCAAGATGTATGAAAGGGTTGAGTTAGACTAAAGCAGGGACACATGTCAGGAATGCACTTTATAAGAATGACACTCAGGGTTGGGAGGTGGATTTCATTGTCGCAGAAAAGCACCCATGAATTCTCTTCACTAAATGATAATGGCTGGGAAGTAAGAGAGAGGCTCTAAGTGCTTGGTAGACACAAAGAGAAAGTGACAACAAGCTCCAGTTGTAGTCTTCTCATTGAAGATAGGAATAAAAGCAGGCCTGAGTGCGAGTTGACCTCCATCAGGATCACAGGACATGGGTTGACCACTCAGACTGAGGACTGAAGTGAAGGCCAAAAATCGGGCTGCAGGCCACATTTTTTTTTTATTTCAATCACTGTACACGGTACGCTCCAGCCAACTCCCAACTCTTTCAACGCATCCCTAGCCTTTTGCTAATGGTGTTCTGGACTAAAAAAAAAAAAAATCAAAAATCATCGATTTCTGAGTTTGAAGTTGCTCAAGGTTAACTGAACGCCACCTGCTCCTTGGTCCCTGGTTTCTGTCTTTCAGTCACAGAATTACCTACTGGTCACTGGCCAACGAAGGATGATATACAAGGACTAAACAAAGGGTTGGCTGGTAAGAATTTGAATTGAGTTTTCTTGGATGCAAAGATTTCAGGGACAGGGTGATGGAAAATCTTGAGGCCCAAGTAAGAAAGGCTTGATGTGATCCTGAGCTGGCAAGCACAGTCACACCGCCCAAGATAACTTTCTCACGCATGCATGCAGAGCCGCCTGCCCACCTGCCCAGGATGGAAGCATCACGACTGTTGCCGGCGTCACCCTGGCACCTGGATCCTGGTGGTGGTGTGTACGTGAAAGGTGTGCAGTTATTACGGGGTTCACGTCGTGGAGGAGGGGTGTTGGTTCGGTTTCCGGATTCCCGTCTTGGCGCTGGTCTGTGCGTCTTGTGAAGCAGGGAAGGACTGGGGGAAGAAGTGAGAAGCAAACAAGAAAAACAAGGTGAAAAATTTGAATCGAAAAAGTGAGTAGATCAGATTTGAAGTAAAATTGTCGCGTGAAGTCATCTTTAACATCTCATTGCCTGGTGGCATCTTGTCTGGCTGAGCAGCACCGTGAGGCTGAGCAAACACACTGGGTGGGTCCCGGTGTGTGATTTTCGTTGGCTGCTGGCAGCCGGTGGAACAACAGGCAGCCAGGCCACAAGGAGAGCAGCCTGAAGACCCAGACCTCCACATCTGAGCGAATTCCTAATTCCCACAATTCCCACCCTCCCCCCGTCACCTTCTTTCTCCATCTTTTCCATCGCCCACACCCACACCCACCCGACCTCATCGCCCACACCTCCCTGCCTTGCTCGGTACACACCCGCCCGCAGCCGCAACCTGACCTCATACCCTGAGACTGATACCCACAGCGCGTCGCGTCCCGGTCAGGTCGCGGGGCAGGGCACGTACGATTGAGATTGAGAGCTGAGACGACAGAGATACGAGATACGAGACTCGAAGTCGAGACCGAGAGTTGTGGGAGGGACGCGGGTGAAGACGAAATCGACACCTAACACTCGTGGCATCGGCATCACGTATTGCACATCAGACACCATACGTCAGGCAGGCACTACATCTCAGCACATCTACGTATAACTCACGTAGACTCGCAAGCTGCAGCCATGTCGAACCAGTCCAACAATACATACCCTGGCCTAACCTTCAGCAACCACTACAACACCCTACGCCGGGGCCCCTTCCCCCCGCCGCACAACCCGGCCGGCGTGCCGAGCGTCACCAGCGTCACCAGCGTCACCACCAACAAGCCGTCGCCATCGCTGACACAGCACGCAACTCACGCTACGCACGCCACCCACGCGTCGCCCTATGCTCAATCGCAGCATCACCCCGCTGCCCAGCACCACCCCGCCCAACACCAGGCCTACCAGCCGCAGCAGCCGCAGCCGAGCCAGTACCCTCACCATCTCTTCGCCCCGTCGCCCCAGATCTCGAGCGTCGCCTCTGTTCAGAATGCCTCGAGACCTCCTCCCCCGCCCATGCCGTCCCTGACGGCCCCGGGCCCGACTCCTCGGCAGCGAGCGTCCGTTGCGACCCCCCGCCAGCAGATGCAGCAGCATCCACAGCACACCACTCATGCCCCGACGCACACCCAGCATCAGCCGCCCCCGCCGCCCGTCAACTACATGCCGCAGAACCTCAGCCCGTCGTTGACCGGGCCGTCGCCGCTCTCGCAGCAGAGCATGGCCCAGGCTGCTCAGCAGTCGCTCTCGCAGCAGAGCCTAGCCCAGCAGTCTCTGGCGGCAGCCACCCCGTCTATGAGTCAGCCGCTGAGTGCTCAGCAGCTCAGCCAGCCGTCGCTGACGCACCAGAGTCTGGCCCAGGGCCCGACACTCTCCCAACAGTTGCAGCAGCAGGCTATGCCGTCGCCGCTGACGCAGAGCTTGAACCAGACAAGCGTGGCCCAGCAGACGCTCGCTCAGTCGGTTCAGCCGGTTCAGCAGGTGCAGACTACCGCTACTGCCGCGGCTGCTGCTGCTGCTGCTGCGGCGGCGGCGGCGCAGCAAAATGATACGGCCACGAGCCAGATGCTCTCGCAGCATGCGACTGCTGCTCATCACCAACAACATCATCAGCAGCATCACCAGACGCATACTCATACCCACACGCAGACACACACCCAATCCTCGTTGCAGCCTGTGCAGCAGACCTTAGGGCAGGTCACGCAAGTGCAAAAGACGCAGTCGTTGCAGCAGGTCCAGCAGCAGCATCAACAACAACAGCAGCAGCAGCAGCAGCAGCAGCAGCAGCAGCAGCATCAGCATCAGCATCAGCATCAGCATCAACAACAACAACAACAACAACAACAACAACAGCAGCAGCAGCAGCAGCAGCAGCAGCAACAGCATCAGCATCAGCATCAGCATCAGCATCAACAACAACAGCAGGTACAAGTGCAGGTGCAGGTACAGGTGCAGCATTCACAGACACAGTCTACCCAAGTTCAGGCGTCATCTTCGCGGAACGAGCCCGTTGATCAAGGGCAAGACGGCCATCAAGACGATGACGTCGAGATGGTCAGCAGTCAGGCCGACTCCTCCGGCAACGAGATGGCGCTGGTGCCAGCCGGCGGTGGTAGCGGTAGCGGTAGCAGTGGTACTAGCAATGCTTTGACTCCTAAAGTGCCCGATCACCATGTCCCCTTCATCCCTCGCGCCCCCATGGGCCCGATGATGTCTGCGCCGCCGGAGGGCGGCAGTTTCCCGACGCTGGAAGCGATTCATAAGCATGTTTTGGACTACTGCACATCGGTAGGATATGCCGTCGTCATTGGGCGGTCGAAGAAGACGGTGCCAGGGCTGAAGAAAGTGCTGTTTGTGTGTGATCGGGCAGGGAAGCCCCCTAAAAGAGTTAGCCCAGAGCTAAGAAAGAGGAAGACCACGTCGCGGAAGTGTGATTGTCCGTTTGGGTTTTTTGCTATCGAGCAGAGGACCCAGTGGACGGTGCGGTACAGACCGAATCCGGCGCATCTGCAGCATAACCATGGACCTAGTGAGAGCCCGCTTCTTCATCCGGCCGCCCGGAAGCTTGACAGTAAGATGGTGGCTACTGTCAAGCAGTTGAAGGAGTCTGGTACGTGTAGTAAGAGTGTGTCGTTTCCTTTGTCAGACAATCCTTTCCTCCAGAGTTTGACTTGTGCTGACGGATTTAGGTATGGGCGTCTCCCAAACGCTCGACATCCTCCAACAGGAGAACCCGCACGTCCCCCTGCTCCCGCGCGATATTTACAACGCCCGCGCGGCGATCAACCGCAACCCGCAGAAGGTTGCTTCGGGATTGGCGGAGAACCGGGCGGCCATCTACAGCAAGCCGCAGCCGACGCCGGAGGAGAGGATCCGGGCTGACCTCCGGAGAGAGCTGGCCAAGGTGCGCGAGGAGTATGAGAAGCTGAAGGAGGAGAGCGCGAAAGAGATTGCGGATCTCAAGGCGAAGATTGAGGAGAAGAATAAAATGATTGAGAAGTTTGAGCAGTTTATTGATTTGTGTAATCAGAGGGTCATGGTGAGTTTGGGGAAGGAACGGGAGCAGAGGGGGTCGTAGCCGACACGAGGGGCTGGGATGGAAGGGAGGACGAGATGAAGGTGAGGTGAGATAGACGACGGATAACTTGGGGCCTGGGAGGGATGGATGGGCAGGGGGTTGTTTTTTTTTTTTTTTGTTTTTTTTTCAGGTTCAAGGTCGTTCAGTTTTATGGCTTGCTTGCTTGGTACTTGCTGTAGTTAGGACGAGGAATCATCGTGGTATTTGTCGATTCGATCATAACGTATTGTAGGGATGAAAATGAATGGCATGGATCTTCTTCGTTGTCTCTAATCTACTTGTCCAGAATTCTTTGGTTCTGAATTTCTTCAACAGACACCAGTGTCTAGTAGCAGAAGGTTGCCTATGTCATGTCCACTCTACCTGGGCGTGCACCCAGAGGGGTGTATGCTGATTGACACAAGCAGAGTTGCGGCGGCAAAAGTATATCTACCTATGGAATGGAAGTATAAGGTTGTGGGTACTGAAACATCTCCACACACCATAGTGATGCATCACATCATGTCACTGCTTTCTTGGTTTTGCCGGCTGCTTGTGTTCCATAATGTTACCAGCTGGTGCAGTGTTATGTGCACCCTTGGTTGAGGGCGGCATGTGATGCTTGCAAATGAGGAGTGTACACTTGGCTCCTGATTCATTCATTCGCAATGTCCTTGGTGTGCAGTGGTGGAGAAAAGTTTCCCACTCAATAACAAAATTATCATTTAGAGCTTCTCTAGATAAAGGAAGCTCCCATGTTGATTCGGGAAGATCTCGAAGATAATTGTGATTTAATCTTTAACAGCCTGTTTCCATTGCTGAAAGACGAGAGATTGTCATATCGCATTGTAAGTGACAAGGTTAGCGAGCACCCCCCCGTTTTGATAGAAACGAAACCATAGCCACCAAAAGAACTACTCCTTGTATGCATGAATATATGTATTATTTTTCGACCACTATCTACCCTATCTATGTACTCGGGTCATGCCCATGTTGACGGTGGGTAATAGGCTGCTAAAGTACATTGCGAGGGGAAAAACCTTTTTTTTTTTTGGGAAAAACCCACACGTAGCTTGTACCTGTTGATCCAGCTGGTCCAAGCGGGGAGATGAAGGGTTGAGCTGGTCGAAGACCAATTGAGTAGCCTATACCCGGTGGCCCAAGCAGGAAGTCGGGGTTGAATATGTTCAAAGACCAAGTGGAGTGCGAGGTGGAGAGCCGGAAACTACTTGAGGCAGATTGGGTCGTATAATTGCTCAAGCATAGAATGATAAGCCTCTTCAAGAGTTGAAAGATTGGTCCCTATCTAGTGGTTAGAATGCTGCACTGTACTTTACCAAGAGGAATTTTAGGCAAGCAAAACAAACACTGATCACACTCATCTATAGCATCTATGTACCTGAGGTTCACATTGATCACGAGCCGGTTGGCGGGGCTCGATCCTATTGTCCGCTGTATCCTCTTTTTTTATGGGCATCTCGTGAGTCTGTACCCTTGACAAAAAAGTGCTTTTGAACCAGTGACCCGAGAAAATCCTTGAAGCCATGATAATCAGTAATGTGACCAAAAAAGGATCTCCGATACGTCGTGCTATAGCTAAAATTATGCAATTGATATTTAACATAGCTGATCCCCCCAAAAACAGCGGCGGTGTGATGATCCAGACAGGTCTACTGAGATGGGTTTGAGAGATGCCAGGCTTCTGGACCGGAGAGGCAAGATTTCTCATACAGTTAGAATGATCCTGTGATCACTAGTTGAGCAGACAATTGTTTGCATTGCTAACTGGGGATATTCTTCGGCCAGATGGCCCTGCCTGGAATCTATATACATGTCCTACACCCTTGTGGCTTCTTACATGCTCAATGGCACAGACCGTTGAGGGTCAGCATCCTTGGGTGTTGAGGTTCAATGCCTCTTGGTATTGAGGGACTGCTTCCCGATGTGTAGGGTCGTTTGAGAGCATATATCTGGGTTTTGATGGGTCACAACTCCCTTTTATTCTGATCAGTTGGCTGCATGAGACCCACTCTTTCCAGATAGAGCCCTTGTTGGTCACGACAGGAGAGAAAATAGTAATGGATGTCATGAGTTCGAAAACTAGATAGAATCATATAACATCAGCAACCTCTGGATTGTGCCGTCTTAAAATTCACATTTGATATATCAAGGTGCTAAAGACTTTGAGACAAAAACCTCCAGTTTCAAGTATCGTTCGGTTATCCTGACCTATTGTCACGATGCAATGTTAACGCCGTGATGGACACGGCAGGCATCAAGGGACGACGAGTTCCCCGTCGAACAAACTGCAGCTGTGGTTTCTGGTAGACAAAGCTGTAGTGGATAAGTACTAATAGGGTATGGAAAGTGGATGAAGAGTGTCAATGAAATATAAGAGATGAAGGCATGAGGTTATAAGGAAACTATGAATTAGATACCTGATAGGGATGACTAACATCTTAGCTGTTGAAGAATCGACCTACTTACTGCAGGAATATCGCAATTTCTAGCCTTCACAATCAAATTCAATTGTCCTTTTTTGAAGTGTTGGTATACCCTTGTTCCATAGGTCTGCATGATGAGCTTCTGGCATTTCCCTAAGCATCAAGCTTTCCACGTGACAGTAGATTAAGCCCCCTGCGTGAGAGCTATGGTGCATATGGTCACTCAGGCAGACGTAGGTTACTGATAACTGGATACTGAGAACCAGTCTAAGATTGCCTTAGTAGGCCAGGAGCGAGCCATTGATCCTGCGATCACAGAAAGGCTAAGACTTGTGGAGTGGAGAGTATATTTAGTACGATGTGGCTGAAACGTATTCGGCTAGAGTGATCCTTCGTGGCCAAAAAGAATGAGATACCTATTTCCAGAGCCTTGTCAAATCCTTTTGAAGTTAGTTCTAACACTCAAGTCCTCAATTCTTTCTTTCAGTCCTACTTTGCATTGTCATTTCCTGTGCACTTTTGAACGGCAAAGACCCATCACTAGGCCTCTATAATTGGCTGCTGGGACCGCTCCTAAGTGTCCAATGATGAGGCCAGCTTGGGCGAATGCCGAGCTATGAGACCCAATACCTAGGCAGCAGTTCAGTTTTACTGTTGCATAAATCTTAGTTGTAGAATTGGAACTTTGATTCCCACCTTAACTATTAACTGTTAGCCGCAAGTGACCAAGGCGTGGTCACCGCTGACCTACCTCGGTCAGCCCCGGCTCCACTGCAGTCAGGCGCACACTTGACCTTATGTAAGAGCCGTGCTCATCCACACTCACGCGTATTGTAGTTTAGAAGGTAGAGCGTTGTTATTCTGCGGCACCCATTGTGCTTGACAGATTCCCTCAGGGCCGCGTGTCCTGCAGGGCAACGCCCAAGTAAATGCTTCCATCCACATTACCATTTTCTATACATCTAACATTAACTATCATAAGGTTAAAGTGACAGCAGGGCATCTCCTTGTGTTTGTGCACTCACTGTGTGGGGTTGTGCAGAAGATATCCCTTGCAACCCAAAGGCTCAGATTGATCTCTGCGCAACTCTGATTCTAGCGGGATTTGGGTTCGGTCTGATTCTCTAATGGGCCTTCGTTATGACCAAATTCACATTCAACTTCGTTGGCACCTGAGAGCCCAGGGCGAGTCAGCCTTATTGCCACAATCATAGTAAAACAAGAAAAGCGAGGTAGAAGCCGACACTCGAGGATGACAACTGGGAGCAAGGAAGCCATAGTATGTTGATCTCGTTTCGTTATGTATAGTGATGCTAACATTTGAGTTTGGAGTGTTAGTTTTGCTATTTTCCCTGTCCCGGGCCATATGCCCTATGAACTTAAGATTTCACTAGCAAAACACACAAAGTTAGCAAAAGCAAGGTCTTCGCATAAAAATCCAAAAGTACTTCTCTTCAATCTAACTGCTTATTTTTGCTCCCAATTCAACAGAGTAAAGGAACTGCCTGCCTTGTATGTGAGAGGTTGCTTAAAGACCTATACCCAGAAAGATGATTGATCTTCCCTGGCTGTCAACTAGCTCTTTCTTTTGTTATGTTATGTTTGGTTATGAACAAGACAGGTAGTAAAAATGAAGGCCTAACATGTATAAGTCAGGAAGACATAAAGAAAACTGGCCCACTAGGAAACAGGCACTCGGGCTGCGTTGATAATCACCAAGCCAAGAGTGATAATCGACTACACAACCGTGAGCATCAGCTAAGGAACAGCGATACTCACCACGAGGATATACCAAAATCGTGTAGGTAAGGATGTAGCTAGTCATCCCACTCGAAAATGTCAAGGAGGACTCCTCAGTCAGCAAACAATTGCTTACCTGAACTGACGACCGCAGTGTTGAACATTCCATGAGAAATTTTTTCTCTCAGATTCCATAGCCTGGTAACTACCTCTGAGCCCTCGCAGGCAACCATGGCACTGTCATAACTAGCATTTTATTTTATCGAGACATCAGCTGAATTAACTGAAAACTTGCTACCAAATTGCACTTCACTCAGAGCTAGCCGCGATCGGGAAGATGGCGCAATATCTTGTAAACTGCTAAAGTAAAAGTGAGACAGGATTTAACTTCGAACGATATAGGTTTGCAAACTTTTGTATTAGAATGTGTGCAACGTTTGAGACAGGGTTTTCGCTTGAGAAATCATGTACTCTCGGAACATCTAAACCTGAAAAGGAGCAAGAGTGTCTATATGCAGGAAGGGAAGGGCAGGGGAATGTTGCGCAAATGTGAGATATGCGGCAGTGTAAATCAGCTAACTTAGATATATTTGGAATATTACCAGTCTAAGTGTAGTCCGATGGCCTTATTGACCGGAGTTGTCCATCAAATGGCATTGTCTTAACAACCTCCGTCTAACCATTCTGCCGCGTAAAATAGCAGAGTTCGGCCATGAGATACCAACGTTCTGACAACCTCTGTATGACCATGCCTTACAGCCCAACTTAGCAGCGTGCCGCCATAAACAGGATATCGATAACGATGTACTGCCACAGCTCTTTAAGGATACTGTTAAACTTGCACGCGACCTAGATGTCCAGTATCTATGGATAGATGCTCTTCGCATCATTCAAGATGAGGACAACCTTGCCGACTGGAACCGTGAAGCTGCCCGAATGGCAGATGTCTATCAAAATCTTCTCTCACCATCTCTGCAACCTTAGCCAATTCTCCATTCAAGGGGACTCTTCTCTTGGCCTCTCCCATTCCGAATTGGCCCTGTGCTCGTCGATGCGATCGATCAGGTTTTCGTTATACCTAATGCTGATAATACTTGTGTCTAAAACCTCTTTCGGCGTTATTACGAGGATGGACTTTTTCGGGAACGGATGCTTCCCCGCCGGCTTTGTCCACTTCGGCCCGCAACATCTTTTCCGGGATTGTCAGAAGCAACGTCGTTACCAATGTGATCCCGACGGTATCTTTCCCAGGCGCCTTCCCTTTCTCGCTAGCTTATATACGCCTCTATTCAATCGAATTTCCTCATGTGCAACAGCTCGAAACCAACTAGGTCCGTTGTCGCCGGTCGTTTTCGACGCAACGTGGATGTGGCGGTCCATTGTAGAGCTGTATTCATCACTTAACCTTACCAAGAAATCTGATCAGTTAGTTACCTTTAGTGGGATCGATGAGGCGACTGTCCAACACGAGGGTACGGGGCTTTCCGCCGGTGGCGGGCCTTGCTATCTTCAACGCGGTCGTCGCCCCCTCTCTCCTCTATGGCATGGTCCAACTCGACACAGGCCCAACGAGGACCGGCGTCCGGGGCCGCCTAGTCCCATCAAAGCTCGTGCCGGTTTGGTCGTCCCTGACCAAAACAGCGAACGAAGCGCTTAGGACAATTTTCCCGGTGTGGCGGACGATTCCATTTTAGTGGCTGTGGTGGCTGGTGGGCCTGTACCCGGAGAGAGAGAGCTCGGCGGAGGAGCCGTGTCGGGGGGCTGCCAGCCGGCCGCCTGCTTCAGGTCCGACTTCGCCGATTCCCCTATCAAGGCTGGTCTCGCCTACATCAGACGGCAGCGGGCCTCGGGGCCCAGCCGCGATGGGAGTCGCGTCGCTTAGGGCCTAGGGCGTGGCTTGGTCTCCCTCCGAACCGGCCGGAGAGGCGCCGGATATCTCTCCCAGATATGAGGAGCTGGTAACGCATCAACAAGCCCTCGTCGGCCCGTTGGGACGGATACATAGAGAACCCGTTTCTAGAGAGCTTTTCCCGGCAATGCCTCGCACGATGGCTTGCAGAGGCCTCAGTCTACGGTGACTTCATGGAGCACCACGTGCAGTTAAACACCCTCCGGGGGCGTTCAAGGATTGCTCCTGTGGCCAACTGGTGTCTAAAGGCCACTTCTTCTCTTGTCGACTCACTACGTTTAACAATCCGCTAGCAGAGAGACTCAATCCTAGGTCCTTCCAGTTCTCCTTTTAACTGTTCCAGTCCAGATCCTCCCAGACCCGAGCTCCTGGGTCAAGCGTTCGACGCGGCTACAGGACAACACATTCCGACGTTACGGCCCCCTCGTTCCCCCTTTCGCGTGCGGGTCCAATGCCGCGAAGACAAGGAGCCCGACACCGACTCCTCCGAGTTGGTATCGGAGTTGGGGATCCAAATCCCACTTGCTCTACCGGGAATAGGTCTTTGTCCCTCGCGGGTATCCATTCCCCTCCGGCGGCTGCCTTTTTCCTACAGGTTTTTTTTTTTTCCCTCTCGGGGTTTTTCCCAGTGTGGCATGTATATAGTGTGTATAGTAGTGTAGCTATTGCTCGCCGTCGTCGTGAGCACGACCCAGCGCCCCCATGGGTGAAGCCGGTCGAAAATAAAATTCAATCTAATCCCGGATCCAGCCAATCAGAGGAAGCGCTGTAGGAATAAATCAACCAGGAGTGGTTAACCTGAGCACTTCGACTCGCAACATCACGGCCGCCGAGCACCCTCGCCGAGATGGGCCCCCGCGAGCGCGGGTTCTTGCCACTCTTAAGAAGGCCCGCGAGAAGGTCAAGGAGTTCAACGCCTTCGTCTCCGTTGCTGTAAAGCTGCTGCGCGCCATCGAGGACGTCTGAGAGAAGTCTTGACGGCACTCTGGAGAGGAAGGTTGGGAAGCCCATTATCGCTAGACATCATTCCTTCTTCATCCAGTCTACAATGGCTCAGGAGGAACCAAACATCCCCCGGAGACCATCAGAGCGCAATCGAATCCTCCAGGACCTGCTCGAAACCCTTTCCCGCCAACATCGACCCAAACCACACCAGGGCAGACGACGCACTTACGCCCAGGCAGCAATCAACGGGGGCCCACCCCCCAAACATTCAGGCTCCACGACTCAAGGCAACCACATCTCCACCCCGGCACGATACGAAGCGGTCTCGGAGGAACCCAGCCATCGCGCCTTCTTCCGTGTCGATAGGAACCACCCGGACCGCGCAATGCCACGCCAGCAGGCATCATTACCCTTTTAATTGAGAAGTTAGGCTTTCCCGGAAGAGAAATCGACAAGATCTGCCCAGTTAACTCCGGCGCCAAAGTGCACACTATTGGATTGACCCGGAGGTGCTCACTTCCGTTGGTGGCTTGTCGGCTTCCCTCCGGACCTCGTCTGGGAGCGGGAGAGAATCAGATGGAGCTGCAGGGGCGGCGGACCTTACCGTCGGCCATCCAGCCACAACCAGGCTTCTTGCTCCCCTTCCGGGCCGGTCACGCATTTACCCACTCACCCAGCCCCCCTGGGGCTCCGCGCCCGGTTAGGCCCACCCCTCTACCCAAACGCCGACGCCGTCCTTATCCCTGAGGCCTTGCCAGCTGTGGTTCCGTTTATCTCGGATCAGAGCACAAGAACAGTGCCGCGGGTGTGGAGCATGCTGAGCATACGGCTCAGCCTTAACCCCGCACTGTCATGTTGTCGGGTTGGTTAGGCATATATATCACATATAAACGGCCTTCTGGCTGCGTTATTCCCAAAAACCTTCTTGCACCCTAATGCGCATTCGAATTGAGATTTTGTCTTGTTAATGATAGATCTCTTTGCCAACATCCTTACTATACAGGGTGAGCTTCTACATGACTCTCTTTCCCTTGATCCTTTATTTTCAACGTGCCTGCTCCGCTATTGACAGTGCATCCGACTAGACCAGAGAGGACTTTTGAAGTTCTTTTTTTGTCAACTTAGGGAAAACAGTTACAATTCCACAAATCCTCGGCCTTTGACTAGCTGCCTGAACAGCTAGACTCGGGGGTTCAAGGCAAATTAACTCAACACTGACGCCCTTGCTGCCAACAACGCCAACCCTCTCACCATGAGCAACATTGGTTCCGCTGCCGTTCACAACTCTAATCCCCTTACTGTCAATAACGCTGATTCCCCTGCTTCCGATAACACTGATACTGAGAGTGTTATCAGCTCCGATCAATCGCAGGTGAGCAGCGATTGGGAAGAAGGTTTGTCCGAACCTTGGTCTCGCTTGATTGCGAGTCATCGTCTTGTGGCCGATCTTGAGCTGACATCTGTTCCCTAAGAACTAGAAGATACAGAGATCCTCGACTGGCTCTCTTCCTTGTCCAAAGAAGACTTTTCGAAAAAGCAAGCCGACTTTCTACGCCAAAGACAAGAAGGCACAGGACAGTGGTTTCTAGAGTCTCCTCAGTTTCAGGAATGGTATAGTCCTTGTTTCCTTCGAACCTGGCTCATTCTTATTTTCCCTCAAGCTAATCAGCCCACTAGGCTCTCAAGGAAGTCGGTCACTCTCTTCTGCCCCGGCATACCAGGTGCCGGGAAGACTATCCTTGCATCGATCGTCATTGATCATCTCCAAAGGAACTTGACGAACCGTGACGTTGGCATCGCATACCTATACTGTAACTTCCGGCGCGTAGGCGACCAAACCGTGGAGCAGCTCCTTGCCAACCTCGTAAAGCAACTAATCATGAACAAGTCTCCACCGCCACGCGCAGTTGTGAAAGTCTATTCTGAACGCAATAAGTACCAATCGGAGCCATCGTTGAACGATCTCGAAAAGATGTTCCGTACTGTCGCTGCACTGTACAAGGATGGGGTCTTCGTTATTGTCGATGCGCTGGACGAGTGTCAAATGAGCGACGATGTTCGTTCCAAGTTCATTGAGGCATTGCTGCGCCTTCAATCGAAGAGAAGCAATGTCAACATCCTGGCTACTTCCCGCCCTGTACCTGATATTGTGGAAGCCTTTGATGGGCACTCCACTCGACTTGAGATCGTAGCCCATAGAGACGACATCGAGCGATATGTGCGCAATCAGATGTCCAACTTGCGCACTGTATCAAAGTATCCGGACCTCCAACATGAAATCGTCAGTTGTATTGCCAATGTCGCAGATGGCATGTAAGTGATCAGTGTCCATAAACCATGTGTTACTGATTCAATAGAGCAAATGCTTACTTACAAAGTTAGGTTCCTGCTCGCTCACCTCTTCGTCGAATCCTTGAAGGATAAAGTTAGCGCAAAACTTATCCGTAAAACACTGAACGAGCTTCAAAACGACTCTAAGGAAAAGGAGCCAAGACTTGCCCTATTACGCCGGGCTTATGACAACGTAATGAAGCGAATCAATGGACAACCGGTCGGATACAAGGAGCTCGCCAAGCACGTGCTATCGTGGATCGTCTGCGCTAAACGTCCTCTCAAAACGACAGATGTTCAGTATGCATGGGCTGTCAAGGACAGTGAAGACGAGCTTGATGAAACCGCGATTCCTGATGCCGAAGACATGCTTTCGGCATGTTGTGGGCTCGTTGTCATCGACAAAGACAGCGAAATCATTCGGCTTGCCCACTACACAGCTCAGGAATATTTCCAGGATACATGGAGTCAGTGGTTTCCGACCGCCCATCTCGACATCGCAAAGACCTGCGTATCATTCCTTTCATTCAAAGACTTCTCAGACGGCCCTGTCAGGACGTATGAAGAGGCGTGTAAACGACTTGAGATACCTCTCTTCACCTATGCCGTTGACTGCTGGGGACACCATGCATCTGCATGTTGCTTCTGCACACCTCAGTTGATTGAGCTGTTAACAAAATCGGAATGGGTCAGCATGGTGGCACAACTTTGCGATCTCTTTTCCGAGATCAGAAAGAATCCAGGGCAATTATCAGAGGCTTTGCAGCCATCACAGAATGCATTTCACATAGTTGGTGCCTATGGGCTCAATGATCTAGCCAAGGCACTCCTTGTACATGCCCCCGATATTGATCCAGACCGGCAAGACAACTATGGCAAAACGCCGTTGAGTTGGGCGGCAGGGATGGGTTGCTCCGAGGTTGTTAAAACGCTGTTAACTGATGATCGAGTTGATCCAGACCGACCAAGCAATGGAGGCCATACGCCGCTGAGTTTTGCTGCATCGAACGGCCGTCTGGAGGTTGTTAAAACCTTGTTATCTGATAGCCGAGTTGATCCAGACCGACAAGACGACTCTGGCAGAACACCGTTGGCTTGGGCGGCAATGAGGGGCCATACCGAGGTTGTTAAAACTCTGTTATCTGATGGCCGAGTTGATCCAGACCGACAAGACAGCGGTGGCGCAACGCCGCTGAGTTGGGCTGCATGTAATGGCCATACCGAGGTTGTTAAGGCTCTGTTATGTGATGGCCGAGTTGATCCAGACCGACAAAACAAGCATGGCCAAACGCCGTTGACTGGGGCAGCATGGAATGGCCATGCGGAGGTTGTTAAAACTCTGTTATGTGATGGCCGGGTTAATCCAAACCAGCAAGACGAGCAAGGCAAAACGCCGCTTGGTCGTGCTGCATGGTACGGCCATACGGAGGTTATTAAAGCTCTGCTATCTGATGGCCGAATAGATCCAAACCGACAAGACACCAATGGCCAAACGCCGATATTCCTTGCTGCACATAATGGCTGTACGAAGGCTGTTGTAACTTTGTTATCTGATGGCCGAGCTGATCCAAACAAACAAGACAATTCGGGTCGAATGCCGCTGAGTTATGCTGTCATGGGCGGTCATCTGGAGGTTATTAGAACTCTGTTATCCGATAGCCGAGTTGATCCAGACCGACCAGACAACTATGGTCAAACCCCGCTGGGCTGGGCTGCATCGAACCGCCTTACCAAGGTTGTTAAAGCTCTGCTATCTGATGGCCGAGTTGATCCATACCGACGAGACGAGTCTGGTCGAACGCTGCTGAGCTACGCTGCAGAGTTTGGCTTTACTGAAGCTGTTAAAAGTCAGTTATCTGATGGTCAAGTTGATCCAAACCAACAAGACAAGACTGGTCTAACGCCGCTGAGTTACGCTGCACTATACGGCCATCTGGAGGTTGTTAGAACTCTGTTATCCGATAGCCGAGTTGATCCAGACCGACCAGACGACTATGGTCGAACCCCGCTGGGCTGGGCTGCATTGAATGGCCGTACCGAGGTTGTTAAAACTCTGCTATCTGATGGCCGAGTTGATCCAGGCCGACAAGACAAGCGTGGCAATGCGCCGCAGTATTACGCTTTATGTAAACATCATATGGAGATTTTCAAAATTCTGTCTTCCGATGGCCGAGTTGATCCAGAATGACAAGTTCGGCCGAAAGCCGCTGGGTTACGCTGCAACGAGGAGTCATCTGTTGGTTGTTAAAACTCTGTTATCTGATGGCCGAGTTGATCCAAATTGACAAAATAATTATGGCCAAACACCATTGAATTATGCTGCATGGAATGGAAATATCGTGGCTATTAAAACTTTGTTACCTCATGGTCGAATTGATCTGAACTTAGCAGATCAGGCTGGACGTACACCACTGGACCTCGTTCCCCCAAAAGGCCTGGGCATCACTCAAGAGTTTGTCGACTCTCTCTAAAAGGACTGACATCCTCATTGAATACCTTGCCAACTTATCTGCGATCTGTCTGTAGTTTGATATTTGGAACAGCATCGCGCTTTTGTGCGCAGAATAAACTCTCCTTCAAGCTGATTTGGCAGGTGCTGCTCGAAGCATATAGCGGCGGATTTGACTAGAAAAGCACACCCTCATCTCTTGTAAATGGGGGGCTGATCTTGTGTCATGTGACTGTCCCAGACTGGGCCAGAAGGTTCGAACGTTCCTGAACTGCGTGATGTCTGATGAGTCTGATTCCTATAGCCGTTGTTTCATGGGACCGTTGGAAAGGAACGAACTCGTTTTGGAGAGAAAAGGTCCATATTGGATATTACATACCACTGGATTAAATCCAGAACCTTTGTCACACACATCGAGGGTAATGCCGAGCGGTGGAATCGGAGTATCCGGTAAACTAACTTGGATCAAGATGTACAGGAGCAATGGAAAGAGAAAAAAAATTTAAATAGAAAAAAAGCTGTCACGACCAACAGAATGTATCAAGCGGAAAAGAAACAAGGAGTTCTGGCGAAAAGTTGTCAGAGCTAAGAACCACCAAAGAAAGATCGTCAAAGCTTAAGCGTCCGTAGCGAAAGATTGTCAAAGCTGAGAATCTCCGGCGAAAGACTGAAAGGTCCTTGGTAGAAGAAACGAGGAAGCGTTCTGAGTATGTAAGGTAGATAGATTCCTCGCAGCAGGAAGGGGTACGAAAAGAAAGCCCCAGTCAGCAATACAAACAGTTGCCTGAACCAACAGGTGGCCGCAGTAATTCTGAATCTATGTGAGAGCTCCTACCTACTCTGTTTCAGGGTGGTTTAAAAGGAAAACTACCCGTAATACATACACTGTTACGGCTCAGGTGCGGGCCAGTAGCTGCCCTACAGTAGTGGCGAGGATGAATGAGAAGGCTCCAAATCCGGTCAAATGGTATACCAATCATACGCAAGGAAGGATATGGTTACCAAGAGTCGCCGATAATCAACCTCAACCCTCGACGATCGACGATAACTCCGAACTTGGTTGACGATAATCTGGGCGTCAGGGCAGGCATACCAACGACTGTTGAGCATAAGTATCTATATAGAGTCACCCATCTCCAGGATCCATGACGAAGACTCCTCAATCAGCAATAGAAACAGTTGCCAACCAACAACTGGTGACCGCAGCAGATCACAGACGCCACTGTATGAGGACCCCAGTCCCTCAGGTTCTACAACCTAGCCACTTACCTTCCAACCCATCTAAGGAGGTTTGTGAACGATCATATACCCATATATGTGTGTTTTTTGATGCTCTTTCTTCTGCAGAGCTGACTGAACGACCTCTGGCCGTATAGAAAAAGGTGTTTCCATTCGCTATAGGGTATGCTTGCAAAGGCATCAACCTTGCCAAAATGGAAAGAGCGGACAGGTTTAGGATACGAACCAGAGTGACGGACCTCATCGTTAACCGCAGGTCCGACTGTAGTTAAGATCTGCGCCTATATACCCACATAACGTCAATCTTAAGATTTGGAGAAAATAAGCTTTGACATTGCTTAAACATGCTGCTATCCAAAGTTCAATTTTGTTTTCCCCACCCCCCCCTTCCCCCTTTTGCGTTGACTGGCATTGTTACGAGATATTAAGTACCTTCGTTCTATTTATCGTTGAAGCGATCGTCTTGTGTCGGCTTCTTTTTTTTTTTTTTCCATTTGCTGGGTTTCGTCCATTCCTTTGACTGTCATGGCTCTCATCCTATGTTGTGCGGTGTTGACTGCGTTGACTGTTACGGCAATTGCCAAACTCTAGATTCTCTCTTGGGTCTTTTTCATCATTTTCGATTACAACGCTCTGACTTGCGTTTTTCAGCGTCGCGATGTCTTGATCGGTGTAGCGACCAGAGATACAATTAACTTGCGGAGAAAAAGGAGCAAGCTAGCTATCAGGACTGCGACACGGTGCAAAAGGAAATACTTCTGATGAGGCTGCTTAATTGTTCCAAGGATCTCCCGACCAATGTTTAGCATGGCTGATATCATAAGGAGCAGCGGTGGCGTTTGGCTAAATGTGACGACTTCTTCCTGAGCGGTCTGTCCACGGTGGTTTATGGCCGGCCTGGTTTATATACGTGTTTACGTTAGCTTTCTTTGTTTTGCTTTTATGTTGTCCCAGACTTTCTCAGAGAAACATACGAGCTGGACTGGCGGACTCTTCGTCTCTGGCCCAATAGGTAGCTCATGATTTGTGAAGCAAAACCATTCGTAGCTAAACATAGTGGGTATGATGTCGACGTTATCAGTTTCCTCAAAACTCTCTCCCTAACGAATCTTAAGCAGGATTTTAAGAGCGGTATTGACAATACTACCATCTACAACGAAAGCTATAGAATCCAGAACTGCCCAAGGAAAAGCAACAGAAGTTACCTCACTTCCATCATGCCGATGAAACCTAGATCCTTCGGGATATTCAAGGTTTTTCACACGTAGCGCTGATCGGAACGCCCCATCCGAAGTGATTTCAACAGAAATCGTGGACGGTGAACACACTGCAGGGAGTGGGCTGAGAATAGCCCAGACAGTCGAATCTTTGGAGGGCAGGAAGACATGGCTTGAGAGCTAACTTCATCCCAAACTTACTGACGCCTAGAACGCGTAGTATGATCAGGTGGAAGTAGGCGACGGCTATGCGTAGTAATCCTGATGACAATGGCTCCCAGTAGAGTCAATGACCAAAGCTGAGAGCGGCCACGTGGACTCCGGTACTCGTAGCTAGGATGAGAATCATCGATTCGTAATGATAAGTAAATAATCATGGTGCAACCATTTTTATCCAGGAGGATCGCCATGCAGGCTGCGCGAGTGAGCATCTGTTGATCGCTGGAGTGGTAAATCCAAGACCGAATATGGCCTGGCAAATTCCATTTCTTAACGGGTTTCCTAACTATGCGCAGTGTTGTCAGCTAAGATAGGGTCTTGCCATTCATGTGTTGTCTAGGTAGAGGGTAAATTTGCTACTATGTTTCTTCTGACAGAAGTTTCCATACCTACAAAGCCAAAAAAAAATAAAATAAAAAAAAAACATTACAATCGCAATATTACGGAAAAAAAAAATGCACCCACAGGAGACTGCATTCGGTAGCTGTAGTTTTAGTGAAGGAGAGAAATACCTGGCATACACACCACTTGGCATAGAGGAAATGGTTTATAGACAGGGTAAGAATCGGGTCCGGGGCAGTGACTAATCAGAAGGATGGAAGGACTTTACCGTTGTCACTCAGCAACGGCGGTGACGAAAATGCCTGGCAAGAAATTCAACACCATGATAGGCACTCAACGACTTCGAATATGAATATGTATATAGAATCGCCCATCCCCCGGAGTCGTGAGGAGTTACTCCCAAGTCAAGAATAAAAGCAGTTGTCAACCAACAATTGGTGACCGCAGTAAATCACGTACACTACTGTGAGAGAACCCCCAGTCCCCGAGGTTCTACAACATTCGAGCTCGCCCATCTTAAGAGGTTGTGGAATCGTCACAGGTACACCTGGCGGAGTGCTGGGATGAGAAAGTTATAGGCTGCAGCAGCATCGTGAAGAGGACGCTTCAACCAAGCGCAGGCATGAAAGCATGGAATTTCTACTCTTTCAGAGTTTTATCCTGCAATTTGCATCTCCCGGTTCTTGACATGATCTTTCTTTTTTTTTTTTTCTAGTCTTGTTTTGTTTTGGAGGGGGGAGTCTCCTTTGACAGTTCTCGCAGTTGAGCTTTTCGGCTTTGAGCCCTTTGAAGCCAACCCTAACCCTGATTCAACAGGTATTCACCAAGGCCAAAGCACACCCGCAGCGTTCGACCAATCAAGTCGCTCCATCGTCGTCTCAACGCATGAGCGGACCCCTGCTTGCCAGCTGCGGCGACACCGACAGGGGTCGAACAGCTGGGAGCATGTGGATCCAGCCAAGGTCAAGCCAAGCCAAGGTTCCAAGGGGGCCCGCGTGGACCGCGGTCGCGTCAAACGGCGGGCAGCAGAAACACAGGCACAAGCCGAAGGGAAGGGGGGGGGGGGGGATCCGCTCAACCCCCATCGATACCGCTTGATTTGAGGACAGCCCACTTCGACTTTCACCACCGCAACGAGAAACCACCGATCGACGACGAACGAAACAAGGAGATACCCCATTTTCGATTCGACAGGGATTTTTTTTTTCGACGACGACGACGAGGAGAAACAGTGAGCGGAAGGAAGAGAGTGACTTGGGAGTTTTTCTAAAGTCGCTGTTGTGGATTGATCCGTTTCTTCTTCCTCGCTCCCTGTTGCGGAGGACGACTACGACGACGAGAGACGACGACGACCGACCGATTCAAGGGCAACTTAGACGACAACGACCAACCGACGCATCGCGACATGCCAACGGCCGAGCCGTGACCTTGTCGATCTCTATACTCTTCAACAACCCCGACGACACCGACAACATCAGCCAACTAACCGAGTCAAGTGAACGGGGTCTACACCAACAATCACCATGGAGACCCTCGCGTCTCCGTCGCCACGCTCACCGTCGCCGAGCCTGACGCCGGGGTCTGGCTCGAGCAGCAATGGCGGCGGCACCCTCACGCCTACTATCGAGCCCATCCGTGTGGTGAACCACCTCTCGCTGTTGCTGGAGGCCGCGCTGGGCGCAACGCGCGCCGAGCTCGAGGCCCCCGGCAGTTTGCTCTCGAAGAGCCGCTTCCCGGATACCCTGCAGCGGTGCGCCCGGTTCGCGATGGAGGGGCAGACGTCGCTGTATGTGCAGAAAGAGCGGGAGAGCATTGCAGATGAAGGGGAGGAGGGTATGTACAGCATCAAGGAAAAAAAAAAAAAGAAAAAGAAAAAAAAGAACATGGACTCTGGGAAGAATTACTAACAGACTTTAAGGCACGCCCTCCCACACCTACACCATCTGCTCCGACCTCTCCTCGTCCACCAACACCGTCGCCTTTCTCGTCCTGCTCAAACGCCCCCAGCCCCTGGACGGCTCCCTGCCGCTCGCCACGCAAATCCAGATGCTCAACCTGCCCGGCCCCGCCGTGCTCTCCGCCAGCGCAGGCGAGCAAGGCCCCGCCGGCTCGCCTTACGAGATCTTGCAGCTCTACCTGCACCACGGCCTCGCCCCGTACTTCGACGCCAGCACCAAGTCGCAGCAGATGCTGAGCGCCGGGGGGGCGCGCGCGGGGCGTACCGACGTGGATGCGAAGACGGGTATTCCGGTCACAAAAAAGCGCTGGACCGAGCTGGAGCTGAGCCTGTCGCATCTACAGCAGAACGTCGAGATCCCCGAGGTGTCGCTGCCGTTTCACCCGATCGTGCAGGCGGCGCTAGATGAGGCGGCGGCGAGGCAGAGCAAGCCGACGTTGGATCTCATCCCGGCGTCGGTCCTACAGGACAGTACTTTTCTGAATAACCTGCAGGCGACGGTGAATAACTGGATCAAGAGCATCCAGGTGATCACCAAGATGACGCGGGACCCGACGACGGGGACGGCTACTCAAGAAATTAACTTCTGGCTGTCGATGGAGGCCGCGCTGGAGGGAATCGAGAGCCAGCTGCGGAGCGAGGGCGTTATGCTGACGCTGGAGATCCTGAAGCATGCCAAGCGCTTCCAGGCGACGGTCAGCTTCACGGCAGATACGGGCTTGAAAGAGGCGATGGACAAGGTGCAGAAGTATAACCAGCTGATGAGGGATTTCCCGCTGGACGAGTTGCTCTCGGCGACGACCCTGATCAAGGTGAAGGACTCGATTGGGCAGATCTTTGCGCACCTCAACAAGAAGCTCAGGATCTGTCCTTACCCGATCAGGAGGGCTCTGCCCCTGGTCGAGGCGATCTCGGGCGATCTGGACGAGGTTTTGCATCGGCTCTTGCCGGGCACCGAGCTCGTCAAGCTGGACTACGCGGACTTTACGCGCGTGATGAAGCAGGCCGACGCCATCTTCCGCACGTGGGACGAGAACATCAAGGAGTTTACCAACGTCGCGCGCGAGGTGACGCGCCGCCGGAACGATCGCTTCATCCCCATCAAGATCAACCCCCGCCACGGCGAGCTGCAGGCCCGTCTCAAGTACGTGGCTAACTTCCGCGACAACCACGAGCAGCTGCAGCGGACGATCGTGAACGTGCTCGGGCCGAAGGCGACCATCTCGGGTATTTCGGGGCCCGGCGGCAATAACGCGGAGGGGGGAGGTGCGGTTGTGGAAGAGATTGGCGATATCGACGCCGTCGAGGAGGTCCGGCAGGCGTGGGAGAGCCTGAAGGATGTCGACCTGCTGGACGTCACGCCGGAGGGCACCCAGAAATGGGCGCGAGCGGAGAATATCTACAACGAGAGGACTGCGAGAGTCGAGAACTCGATCATCGCCCGCCTGCGCGACCGCTTGGCCACGGCGAAGAACGCCAACGAGATGTTCCGCGTCTTTTCCAAGTTCAACGCGCTCTTCGTGCGCCCCAAGATCCGCGGTGCTATCGCCGAGTACCAGACGCAGCTGATCGACAACGTCAAGCAGGCCATTCATGCTCTGCATGAGAGGTTCAAGCACCAGTATGGCCACTCTGAAGCGCACGCCATGGCGCAGCTGCGCGATCTGCCCCCCGTTTCCGGCGCGATCATCTGGGCCAGGCAGATCGAGAGGCAGCTGGATAACTACATGAAGAAGGTCGAAGATGTCTTGGGTGCTGACTGGGCCATGCACGCCGAGGGCCAGCGGCTGCAGAACGAGAGCGACCTGTTCCGCAAGAAGCTGGATACCAGGCCGATCTTCGAGGCGTGGCTGCACGACGTGCAGCGGAAGAATATCTCCATCTCGGGGCTGCTCTTCAACATCAACAGGATCAGGTCGGCTGGCAATACGCTCGAGCTGGCGGTCAACTTCGACGCGCAGGTCATCGCGCTGTTCAAGGAGACGCGGAACTTGGTCTGGCTCAACTTCCCCGTCCCGCACTCGGTCAACAACGTCGCGAAGGAGGCCAAGAGGGTGTACCCTTATGCCGTCAGCCTCATGGAGAGCGTGCGGACTTTTGCGCAGACCAATCGCCAGATCCAGGACATGGACGAGGTGGCTGTCTTGCTGAGTGGCCATCGGCAAGAGGTGTACAACCTCATCGCCAAGGGCATCCCCCTCAAGTGGGAGTCGTTTGTGAATACCTACGAGGTGCACTTCAACAAGTACGCGGCGGCGGCGGCTGCCGCTGCTGCCGCTAATGGGGCGCTCGACGGCGTGGGCCTCGCCGGCCCCGGCAAGGCTGGCGAGAGCAGACACGTCATGTTCGTCCGGGAGTTTGCCCACGCTGTCTCGCTGCTCCAGGCCAAGACGATTACGCTCGCGAATATCCACGCCACGGTGCAGAAGGCGCTCTCCGAGCTCGAGAAGTGCCCGTACGAAGCGGCGGCGTTTGAGTCGAGGCTGGAGACGATCCAGGCGGCGGTGGATCAGCTCAACCTAGAGCAGTATGTCAATCTGGGGTATTGGGTGGAGAGGATGAACCGGCAGATCAAGCGGATCTTGCTCGCGCGCCTGCAACACGCCATCCGGGCTTGGATCGAGGCGTTTGAGGATGACACGCCGGAGCGGAGTGGCCGGGATGAGTATCATCGGAGGAGGCTGTCTGACCAAGCGGCTGCTGAGAGGAGGGGCAAGGACAGGGACAAGGACAAGGACAAGGACAAGGACAAGGGCAAGGACAAGGGCAGGGACAAGGGCAGGGACAGGCCGGTGATCAAGAAGCTCGTGCACGAGATTACGATGCGTAACCAGGTTATCTACCTGGATCCGCCGCTTGAGTATGCCCGCGCGAGTTGGTACGCCCAGCTGCAGGAGTGGATCGGCGTCGTGTGCAACCTGAAGAAGATCAAGGCCACGCGGTACCAGATGACGCTCGTCAGCACGACGGCGCTGCAGGTCGACGAGCCTAGGTTCGACGACCTACCGTCGGAGTGTGCCAGCGCCCTGTTGAGGGTGCAGACCAGCGTCGAAAAGAAGCTGCGCGAGATCGGGGCCTACGTCGACAAATGGCTGCAGTTCCAGAGCCTGTGGGATCTGCAGTCCGAACACGTCTACGAGGTGCTGGGCGACCAGCTCTCGCGCTGGCTGCAGTTGCTGCAGGAGATCCGCAAGACGAGACAGACGTTCGACACCACCGAGGTCTCCCGCTCGTTCGGCCATATCACGATCGACTACGACCAGGTCCAGACCAGGGTTAACGCCAAGTACGACCAGTGGCAGCACGACATCCTCATCAAATTTGCCTCGCGCCTCGGCACGCGCATGCGTGAAGTGCACGCCGAGGTGGACAAGGCTAGGCGGGATCTGGAAGGGCAGGCCATCTCGGCCAACTCCACCGCCCAGGCGGTGCAGTTCATCACCACGGTACAGGCCTGCCGCCGGCAGGTCAAGCTCTGGGCGCCGGAGATCGAGACGTTCCGCCAAGGCGAGAGCACGCTGGTCCGGCAGAGATACCAGTTCCCCTCCGACTGGCTGCACGTGGAGCAGATCGACGGCGCGTGGGACGCGTTGAACGAGGCGCTGCAGAGGAAGAGCAAGATCGTGCAGGACCAGACGGACGCGCTGAGGGCGAAGATCCTGGCCGAGGACAAGGTCATCCTGGATAAGATCTCCGAGGTGGCGCAGCAATGGGCGGAAGAGAAGCCTGTTAGCGGGACGATCGCGCCCGACGTGGCGAGCGCGACGCTGGCTGCGTTCGAGCAGAAGATCACTAGACTGCAGGAGGAGAGCGCCATGGTGGCGAAAGCCAAAGAGGCGCTCGATCTGCCCGTCGTCGCCGAGACCACGCTGGGCGTCATCCTCGAGGAGGTGCAGGACTTCAAGTCGGTGTGGGCGTCGCTGAGCACGATCTGGAACAACCTGAACGAGCTGCGCGAGACGCTCTGGACGAGCGTGCAGCCGCGCAAGGTGCGCGGGCAGATTGATGGGCTGATCAAGATGACGAAGGAGATGCCCAGCCGCATGAGGCAGTACGCTGCGTTCGAGCACATCCAGAACGTGTTGAGGGGGTTGATGAAGGTGAATCCGCTGCTGAGCGAACTGAAGTCGGAGGCGGTGCGGGATCGGCACTGGACCAAGATTTACAAGCAGATCAAGCCGGGGAAGAGGTACTCGCCGGTGAGCATGACGCTCGGAGACGTCTGGGACTTGAACCTGGTGGCTACCGAGGTCATCATCAAGGACATCATCGCCCAGGCGCAGGGCGAGATGGCGCTGGAGGAGTTCCTGAAGCAGGTCCGCGAGACGTGGACGACCTACACGCTGGATCTCGTCAACTACCAGAACAAGTGCCGCCTCATCCGCGGCTGGGACGAGCTCTTCGCCAAGTGCAGCGAGAACCTGAATTCCCTGCAGGCCATGCGCCACTCGCCATACTACAAGGAGTTCGAGGAGGAAGCGTCGGGCTGGGAGGACAAGCTGAACCGCGTGCACGTGCTGTTCGACGTGTGGATCGACGTCCAGCGGCAGTGGGTGTATCTGGAGGGCGTGTTTACCGGCAACGCGGACATCAAGCACCTGCTGCCGATCGAGTCGTCGCGGTTCCAGAACATCAACTCGGAGTTCACGGCGGTGATGAAGAAGGTGTATAAGCAGCCGAACGTCCTGGACGTGCTGAACATCCCCAACGTGCAGAAGAGCCTGGAGCGGCTGGCCGAGCTGTTGCACAAGATCCAGAAGGCGCTGGGCGAGTACCTCGAGAAAGAGAGGGTCTCGTTCCCGAGGTTTTACTTTGTGGGCGACGAGGACCTGCTCGAGATGATCGGCAACTCGGGGGACGTCATGCGCATCGCGAAGCACTTCAAGAAGATGTTCGCGGGGTTGAACGGGCTGGTGATGGACGAGGAGCAGAAGCTGATCACGGGATTCACGTCTAAGGAGGGGGAGACGGTCAGGCTCAAGAGGGAGATCTCGCTGGCGAAGACGCCGAGGATCAACGACTGGCTGGCGCTGCTGGAGAGCGGGATGAAGGCGACGCTCGCCGAGCTGCTGGCCGAGGCGGTGGACGAGTTCACGCCGCTCTTCGCCGGGCCCGACCCCGTCGTCGACCGCGCGGCGCTCGCCAAGTTCATGGACTCGTACCCCTCGCAGATCGTCGTCCTCGCCACGCAGGTCGTCTGGACCTCCGCCGTCGACTCCGCTCTGGCGTCCGGCGGCGGCGACCGCCTGCAGACCCTCTTTGACCGCGAGGTGCAGGTCCTCCGCGTCCTGGCCGACACCGTCCTCGGCGACCTGGACGTCCTCACCCGCAAGAAGTGCGAGCAGCTGATCACCGAGTGCGTGCACCAGCGGGACGTGATCGAGCGGCTGATCAAGGCGGGGGCGAACACCAACACGCATTATCTCTGGTTGCTGCAGATGCGCTATGTCTACGTGGCCGAGGGGGATTTCCTGTCCCGTCTCAGCATCCGCATGGCGAACGCTAAGCTCTCCTACGGCTTCGAGTACCTCGGCGTGCCCGACCGCCTCGTGCGCACGCCCCTCACGGACCGGTGCTTCCTCACGCTCACGCAGGCCCTCTGCCAGCGCCTCGGCGGCTCGCCCTACGGCCCCGCCGGCACGGGCAAGACGGAGTCCGTCAAGGCGCTGGGCGTGCAGCTCGGCCGCTTCACGCTCGTCTTCTGCTGCGACGACACCTTCGACTTCCAGGCCATGGGCCGCATCTTCCTCGGCATCTGCCAGGTCGGCGCGTGGGGCTGCTTCGACGAGTTCAATCGCCTGGAGGAGCGCATCCTGTCGGCCGTCTCGCAACAGATCCAGAACATCCAGCTCGGGCTCAAGCGCGGCGGCGAGGACGACGACCCGCCGGCGGCGGCGGCGGCGGCGGCGGCGGCGGCGGCGGCGAGCCAGATCGAGCTGGTGGGCCGACACCTCAAGGTCAACCCCAACACGGGCATCTTTATCACGATGAACCCCGGCTACGCGGGTCGTTCCAACCTGCCGGATAACCTGAAGAAGCTGTTCAGGAGCGTGGCCATGTCCAAGCCGGATAAGGAGCTGATCGCCGAGGTGATGCTCTATTCGCAGGGGTTTAATCGGGCGAAGGAGCTGGCGAGGCAGACGGTGCCCTTCTTTGAGCAGTGCGCCGCTAGGCTGAGCAAGCAGGCGCACTACGACTTCGGGCTGAGGGCGCTGAAGAGCGTGCTCGTCTCGTCCGGCGGGCTCAAGAGGGCCAGGTTGACGGAGTCCGCGGCCGGAGAGGAGGAGGTCAACGAGCCCGAGATCCTGGTGCAGAGCATCCGCGAGACCATCGCGCCCAAGCTGATCAAGAGCGACGTGGAGATCATGATGGAGATCGAAGGGGCTTGCTTCCCGGGCGTCAAGTATGTCCCGGCGAACTTGGCCAGGCTGGAGGAGGCCATCCGCAAGCTGGCCGGGGAGAGGCACCTCGTGGTGAGCGAGCCGTGGATGACCAAGGTGCTGCAGCTGTATCAGATCCAGAAGATCCACCACGGCGTGATGATGGTCGGGTCTTCCGGCTCGGGCAAGTCGGCGGCCTGGAGGTTGCTGCTGGACGCGCTGCAGCAGGTGGAGGGCGTCGAGGGCGTGAGCCACGTGATCGATTCCAAGGTGATGAGCAAGGAGGCGCTGTACGGCAACCTGGACGCTACCACGCGCGAGTGGACGGACGGCCTGTTTACGAGCATCCTGCGCAAGATCGTCGACAACCTGAGGGGCGAGGACGCCAAGCGGCACTGGATCGTCTTCGACGGCGATGTCGACCCGGAGTGGGTCGAGAACCTGAACTCCGTCCTCGACGACAACAAGCTGCTCACGCTGCCCAACGGCGAGCGCCTCTCCCTGCCGCCCAACGTCCGCATCATGTTCGAGGTCGAGAACCTCAGGTACGCCACGCTGGCCACCGTTTCGAGATGCGGCATGGTCTGGTTCAGCGAGGACACGGTCACGCCCAGCATGATGGTCGCGAACTACCTGGAGACCCTCCGCGCCGTCGCCTTCGAGGACCTCGACGAGGACGCCGTCGGCGCGACCGGGCAGGCGCAGAGCTCGGCGCGCGCCCTCGAGGTCCAGCGCCAGGCGGCCGACCTGCTGCAGGCGTACCTCACCGAGGGCGATTTCGTCCTCCGGGCCCTCGACATGGCGACGGACCCCGCCTACGGCTACGCGCACGTCATGGAGTTCACCGCGGCCCGCGCGCTGAACACCCTGTTCTCGCTGCTCAACAAGGCGGTGCGCAACATGATCGAGTACAACGCCCAGCACGCCGACTTCCCGCTCGACGCGGAGCAGGTCGAGGGCTACCTGTCCAAGAAGCTCCTGCTGGCCATGGTCTGGGCGCTGACGGGCGACTGCCCGCTAGACGACCGCAAGCGGTTTGGCGACCGCGTCGCCGGCCTGGCATCCTTCGGCTCCCCGCCCCTGGGCGACGGCAGCGCGAGCCTCATCGACTTCGACGTCTCGCTGCCCCGCGCGGAGTGGACGCCGTGGCAGAGCCAGGTGCCGACCGTCGAGGTCAACACGCACAGCGTGACGCAGACGGACGTGGTCATCCCCACGCTGGACACGGTGCGGCACGAGGACGTGCTGTACTCGTGGCTGGCCGAGCATAAACCGCTCTTGCTGTGCGGTCCGCCCGGGTCGGGCAAGACCATGACGCTGTTCAGCGCGCTGAGGAAGCTGCCGACGCTGGAGGTGGTCGGCCTGAACTTCTCGAGCGCGACGACGCCGGATCTGCTCGTCAAGACGCTCGAGCAGTACTGCGAGTACCGCAAGACGCTGAACGGCGTCGTGCTGTCCCCGCGGCAGATCGGCCGCTGGCTGGTCGTCTTCTGCGACGAGATCAACCTCCCCGCGCCCGACAAGTACGGCACGCAGAGGGCCATCTCCTTCCTGCGCCAGCTCGTCGAGCACAACGGCTTCTGGCGCACCTCCGACAAGGCCTGGGTCACCCTGGACAGGATCCAGTTCGTCGGCGCGTGCAACCCGCCTACCGACGCGGGCCGCACGCCGCTGGGGGCGAGGTTCCTGAGGCACGCGCCGCTGATCATGGTGGACTACCCCGGCGAGCAGTCCCTGCTGCAGATCTACGGGACCTTCAACTCGGCCGTGCTGAAGATCATCCCGTCCCTGCGCGGCTACGCCGAGCCGCTCACCCAGGCGATGGTCAAGTTCTACCTCGAGTCGCAGCGCCGCTTCACGCCCAAGATCCAGCCGCACTACGTCTACTCGCCGCGCGAGCTCACGAGGTGGGTGAGGGGCGTGTACGAAGCCATCCGGCCGCTGGAGACGCTGAGCGTGGAAGGCCTGGTGCGGATCTGGGCGCACGAGGCGCTCAGGCTGTTCCAGGACCGCCTGGTGCACGAGGAAGAGCGCCGGTGGACGGACGAGGCGGTGAGGAGGATCGCCATGGAGCATTTCCCCACCATCGACGAGCAGAAGGCGCTCGGCGGGCCGATCCTCTTCTCCAACTGGCTCAGCAAGCACTACATGCCGGTCGACCGGGAGCAGCTGAGGGAGTTCGTCAAGGCCCGGCTCAAGACGTTCTGCGAGGAGGAGGTCGACGTGCCGCTCATCCTGTTCGACGACGTGCTGGAGCACGTGCTGCGGATCGACCGCGTCTTCCGCCAGCCGCAGGGTCATCTCATCCTGATCGGCGTGAGCGGGAGCGGGAAGACGACGCTGGCGCGCTTCGTCGCGTGGATGAACGGGCTGAAGGTGTTCCAGATCAAGGTGCACGGGAAGTACTCGGCCGAAGACTTCGACGAGGACCTGAGGGAGGTGTTGCGGCGGTGCGGGTGCAAGGGGGAGAAGATCTGTTTCATCATGGACGAGAGCAACGTGCTGGACTCGGGCTTCCTCGAGAGGATGAACACGCTGCTGGCGAACGCCGAGGTGCCCGGGCTGTTCGAGGGGGACGACTTCTCGGCCCTGATGACGGCCTGCAAGGAGGGCGCCCAGAGGCAGGGTCTGCTGCTGGATTCCCAGGAGGAGCTGTACAAGTGGTTCACCGGGCAGATCGTCCAGAACCTGCACGTCGTGCTCACGATGAACCCGCCGGAGGACGGGTTGTCCTCGAAGGCGGCCACGTCGCCGGCCCTGTTCAACCGATGCGTGCTGAACTGGTTCGGCGACTGGTCCGACCAGGCGCTGTTCCAGGTCGCGCACGAGCTGACGCACTCGGTCGACCTGGACCGCCCGAACTGGAGCGCGCCGGACACGCTGCCCGTGGCCTATCGCGGCCTGAACCTCCCGCCGTCCCACCGCGAGGCCGTCATCAACAGCATGGTGTACATCCACCACTCGCTGAGGCGGTTCAACGAGAAGCTGCATCGGCAGCAGGGGCGCGTGACGTACCTCACGCCGCGGCACTTCCTGGACTTCGTGGCGCAGTACGTCAGGCTGTATAACGAGAAGCGGGAGGACCTGGAGGAGCAGCAGCGGCACCTGAACGTCGGCCTGGAGAAGCTGCGCGACACGGTCGACAAGGTCCGGGATCTGCGCGCCTCTCTCGCCGAGAAGAAGCGCCAGCTCGAGCAGAAGGACGCCGAGGCCAACGAGAAGCTCCAGCGCATGGTGGCCGACCAGAGGGAGGCCGAGCAGAGGAAGAATACCTCCCTCGAGATCCAGGCCGCGCTCGAGAAGCAGGAGGCCGAGGTCGCCGCCCGCAAGAAGATCGTCCTCGAGGATCTGGCGCGCGCCGAGCCGGCCGTCGAGGAGGCGAAGGCGTCCGTGTCGAACATCAAGCGCCAGCACCTGACCGAAGTCCGCTCCATGGGCGCCCCGCCGCAGGGCGTCCGCCTGGCCCTCGAGAGCGTCTGCACCCTGATCGGCCACAAGGTCTCCGACTGGAAGTCCATCCAGGCCGTGGTCCGCCGCGACGACTTCATCGCGTCCATCGTCAACTTCAACAACGAGAAGCAGATGACCCGCGCGCTCCGCGTCAAGATGCGCAACGACTACCTCGCCAATCCGGAGTTCACCTTCGAGAAGGTCAACCGCGCCTCGCGCGCGTGCGGTCCCCTCGTCCAGTGGGTCGAGGCGCAGGTGAACTACGCCGAGATCCTCGACAAGGTCGGCCCGCTGAGGGAAGAGGTTGCGCAGCTGGAGGAGCAGGCCCTGCAGACGCGAGCCGAGGCCAAGGCCGTGGAGCAGATGATCGCCAACCTGGAGGCCAGCATCGCGCAGTATAAGACGGAGTACGCGGCGCTCATCAGCGAGACGCAGGCGATCAAGGCCGAGATGGCGAGGGTGCAGTTCAAGGTCGATCGGAGCGTGAGGCTGCTGGGCTCGCTGTCGTCGGAGCGGGCCAGGTGGGAGGAGGGCAGCAGGTCGTTCGAGACGCAGATCGCCACGCTGGTCGGGGATGTCTTGGTGGCCGCGGCGTTCCTGGCCTACGGCGGCCTGTACGACCAGACCTTCAGGAAGGCCATGGTGGACGACTGGTACAACCAGCTGCGGCTGAGCGGCATCCAGTTCAAGGAGCCCAACCCGGTCACGGAGTACCTTTCCACGGCGGACGAGAGGCTCGGCTGGCAGGAGAACAGCCTGCCGGCGGACGAGCTGTGCACGGAGAACGCCATCATCCTCAAGCGGTTCAACCGCTACCCGCTGATCATCGATCCGTCCGGGCGGGTGACCGAGTTCCTGCAGAAGGAGTGCAAGGATCGGAGGTTGACCGTGACCAGCTTCCTGGACGACTCGTTCACCAAGCAGCTGGAGAGCGCGCTGCGGTTTGGTAATCCGATCCTGATCCAGGACGCCGAGCATCTCGATCCCGTGTTGAATCACGTCCTCAACAAGGAGTACCAGCGCACCGGGGGCAGGGTGCTCATCCAGCTGGGCAAGCAGCAGATCGACTTCTCGCCCTCGTTCAAGCTCTACCTGTCGACCCGCGACCCGTCCGCCGTGTTCGGGCCGGACATCTGCTCCCGCACGACCTTCGTCAACTTTACCGTCACCCAGTCCAGCCTGCAGACGCAGTCCCTCGCCGAAGTCTTGCGCTCCGAGCGGCCGGACGTCGACGAGCGCCGCTCCAACCTCATCAAGCTGCAGGGCGAGTTCAAGGTGCATCTCCGGCAGCTCGAGAAGCGCCTGCTCCGCGCCCTCAACGAATCCCGCGGCAACATCCTCGACGACGACAACGTCATCGAGACGCTCGAGACCCTCAAGACCGAGGCCGCCGACATCTCCGTCAAGATGCGCGACACCGAGGGCGTCATGGCCGAGGTGGACGCCATCACCAAGCAGTACGACGTGATCGCGCGGTCGTGCAGCGCGGTCTTTGCGGTGCTGGAACAGCTGCACTATCTGAACCACTTCTACCAGTTCAGCCTGCACTACTTCCTGGATATCTTCCACGACGTGCTGCATGCTAACCCGAACCTGGCCAAGGGGGAGAATAAGAAGAAGGAGGACCATACGGCCAGGAGGGATATCATCGTGAGGGATCTGTTCGTGACGACGTTTAAGAGGACCGCGCTGGGCTTGTTGCAGAGGGATCGCGTTACCCTGGCCGTGTTGTTGGCCCAGGCCAGCCCGTATAAGATGGATAAGACGCTGTTGGACGTCGTGCTGGACGAGCGGGTGGAGGGTAAGGACGTGTCGACCGAGCCCGGAGCGAGGGAGGAGCAGTTCGCCAGGGCGAAGAAGATTCCTGCGCTCAGGGACCGCATCGAGAACGTGCCCGAGCAAGACTGGGAGCGCTTCTTCACCGAGGAGTTCGCCGAGCACTGCGTGCCGCGCGTCTGGACCGACGAAGAGGAGGAGAAGAAGACCCTCGAGCCCGCCGACCGCGCGCTGCTCTCCCTCGTGCTGGTCAAGCTGTTCCGGCTGGACAGGTTCGTCCCGGCCGCCGAGAAGTTCGTTACGCTCGTCTTCGGGCCCGACCTGTTGGACGTGGTGGAAGACCTGCAGCAGACGGTTGACCAGGTCTCTTCGACGAGGCCGATCGCCCTGGTATCCACCCCCGGCTTCGACGCCTCCTACAAGGTCGAGAACCTCGTCGAGAGGCTCCGCGTCAGGTGCACCAACATCGCCATGGGCAGCGCCGAGGCCCTTGCTTCGGCCGACAAGGCTATCTCCGCCGCCGCCCAGACCGGCTCGTGGGTGCTGGTCAAGAACGTCCACCTCGCGCCGACGTGGCTGCAGAGTTTGGAGAAGCGGCTCGAGAGTCTGAATCCGCATAAGGAGTTCCGCCTGTTCCTCAGCATGGAGAGCTCTCCCAAGATTCCGGTGAACCTGCTGCGCGCGAGCCGAGTGCTCATGTATGAGCAGCCCGCCGGTGTGAGGGCTAATATGAAGGATAGTATGAGCAGCCTAGGGCAGAGGGCCAGCAAGCAGCCGGTGGAGAGGGCACGGCTGTACCTGTTGTTGAGTTTCTTGCATGCCGTGGTGCAGGAGCGGCTGAGGTACGCGCCGAGCTTGGGGGTGGAAGGGGGTTTTTGGGAATTTAATGATGCTGATGTTTAAGTTTTTTTTTTTTTTTTTCAAATTCTTTACCCCGCTCTCCCTCCCACTTTTTAAATTTCTTTTTAATTTATTTTAATTTGATATATATTTTACTTGCTTAACTTTTTTTTTTTTTTACTTATTTATACTTTTATAATTTATACTTTACTCCTTACCTACGAATGATGCTAACGCGAGGGACAGTACGAATGCTCCGCCTTCGTAATCGACACCTGGATCGACCACGTCGCGCAAAACCGCACCAACATCGCCCCCTCTAACATCCCTTGGGACATGATCCGCCACCTCGTGGCCGAGACCTACGGCGGCAAGATCGACGACGACGGGGACACACGCATCTTACGCGACCTCGTCACGCGGGTGTTGACGCCCGAGGCGTTCGACATAGGACATAAGCTTGTTTCTTCCCCCGATGGCGGCACTACCTCCTCCTCTGCTGACAACAACGAGGATGAGGAGGAGGGAGGAGAAGGAGGAGGAGGAAGAGGAGGAGGAGGAGGAGGGAATGTGAATGAGCTGATTGTGCCCTCGGGAACAAGCTTGCAAGACTTTATGGCGTGGATCCATCGCTTGCCGGAACGGGAGCCGCCGACGTATTTAGGGTTGCCGGCTAACGCGGAGAAGCTGTTGCTTGTGGGGCTGGGGAGGACGTTGATCGGGAATGTGAGGAAGGTTACGGAATTGTTGGAGGAGGGGGAGGCTTTGATGGCAGAGGCATGAGTAACTACGGGGTGTTGAGGTGAGACAAGGTTAACGGGGGAGGGAGGGGTTTTGAGAAAGGAGAGAAAGAGAGATAGAGATGTTGATGAATCAATGTTAGTAATGTTGGTTGTGTATTGGGGGGGGGGGGGGNGNTGAGTTATTTTTTTATGTTGTACTATTTAGTAGTAGGTAAGTAGGTAATAGTACTAATGTAGTATGGTAGTAGTTTACGGTTTAAGTTACGTTTAACGTTACCCGTTACCCCGTTACCCGTACCTACCTCCTACTACTCTCTACTCTACTACTACTACTCTACGTACTCTCTACTACTACTATACTATCTACTCGTATCTACTCTCGTACTCTTACNTACGCTTANACGTCTANCTAATCCTATGTTACACTATNAACTNTCTATCGGTACTACGGTACTACGTATCCGTATACCGTATACTACTCTACTACTACGTACTCGTAACTACCGTANACCTTACGACCGTAGTAAAACCCTAGGTTCTTAAACCGTCTTACGACTTCGTAACTCGTACGTACTAACACGTACNCTAGACGTTACTACGTACCGTACGTACGTACGTACGTACGTACGTACGTACGTAGTAGTAGTACGTAGTACGGTACGTACGTAGTAGTCGTCGTACGTACGTAGTAGTAGTAGNGTACGTGTATCGTAGTCTACGNGTACGTGTACGTGTACGTGTACGTAGGTCGGTNTAGTGTACGAGTAGNGNGTAGNGTTAGGACTGTGTGAGTGAGTCGAGCGTAGCGTGTACGNGTAGCGGTAGAGTGTAAGTGAGGACGTGAGTGAGTAGTGTAGNGAGTGAGTGAGTAGATGGTCGAGTGAGAGAGTAGAGGTACGTAGAGTAGAGTAGTAGTAGTAGTAGTAGAGTGTGTAGTGTGTAGTGTGTAGTAGTGTGTGTGTAGTGGTAGGTAGGTAGGTAGTATTAGTTTATTTTAAGTTTTAGTAGTATAGTAGTAGAGAGAGTATATAGTACGTAGTGTACTGTGTTNTTCTTACTTACTCCTCCNCCCNCCCCNCCCCCCCCCCTCTCTTCCACCTTCTTTTCTCCTCCCTAAAACGTTATTGTGCAGCCGCTTTTTTCTCACGAGCTCTTCATGACTCCCAGTCTACCTTGATGTAAACATCCCAAAACGGCAACATATCTTCCAGTAACATCTTTTCTAATATTAGCCTTCTTTTCAACATCCATCCTCGTCACCAATAGTAGCACTGAGACCCAAGACTCAGCAACAGCAATCTTCCTCCTCCCTTTGTTTAACTCTTCTCGGAGAAGGGTTTTGACACAGCTGCAGGCCTACATGATATAGAAAGTCTAATCGTGTCTGCACTGCGTCGGGGTCTAGCGGGATCGCTGACGGAGGGGGAAGGTACTCGTATACGATGGCGAGGAAGCTTCAAGAGGGGGAGAGGAGTCTAACGAAGCCGTACGAAGGGGAGCGAAGAGGACAATGTTTATACATTCGCCAGTAGGACTTGGGGTAGTTCTTGTATGGGTCGAGGAACCCATTCACACTCTACGACTCCGTCCCTCTCACGTAATCCCAGCCGTAGCACATCCTATATGTCGTGTCCCCTCTAACGAAATGGTGACCCTCTCATTGTCGGGGAGGGGAGTGTCGTAAGGGCAGGTGGTAAATGCTTCGGAAGAGAAAGGCGTAAAGATTGCGCAAGCAGTCCAGGCGGGTGATGCGGCGGCGGGGAACGTGTATGGGGTGGGGAGATTTTGGTGAGGGAGAGGAAGGACTGGACTTGGGATGGGATGGCGGCGGCGAGTTGAAGGGGGTTAGATGGAAGAACTATGCCGATGTGAAAGGTTTAGTAGGCGGTTATCTGGATGGGGGGTCGGTGGTGAGCGGCACATTGGAGGTAGCAGCACTGGGATATAAACAGACCGTTCCCAGTCTCTCGGTGGTTGGGGGAGGGGGGAGGGGGAAGGCTAACGTCACGCTTGTGACATTTTGGGAGGGTTAGAACTTGAGACTAGGTAGACGTGGATATGTAAAAGGGAGCAGGCAGCTAAAAAGCACTCACCACTCTCAACGCATACTCAGTCTTATCCTTCTCCCGAATGTGACACGACAAACACACACAGCCTTCAATCCCATGACCGAGGAACTCGAGGATTGTGAGCTTCTCGTCGTGCCGGGGGAACCTTCTTAGTTTGGATTTCAAAGGGAGGACCAAGCCGCTGGGGGGGTTCGCGACAGGGGAGATAAGCTTGAGTGTTAGGCCCGGTGTCTTTATCTTGATGTTACTTTTTTTTCTGAGATTGAACTTGGCTGGTTCTCATCAACTCCCAGAGCCCAGCGACGAGAGAGAGAGAGAGAGAGAGAAAGAGAAAGATCGTAGCGGCTATCTTTCCGAAAAGTGTCATAAAGTCAAACACTATGTAGTCCTGAGCCACCCAAGTCTACTTCTCACAGACGAGATGGCCGGGAAGTGGCATGATATATCTCTCAACAGATATTGCTGCTTGCCGCTGCCTGTCAGTGCCTGTCAGTTCCTGTCAATAACAGGGGTATGCGTCTGGAGATTAACATATCCCTTGCAGATAGGTATCCACGCGGTTGATGTTGTTGGTGCGAGATATGTCAATTACAGCGCCCCAAGTTTAGCAAGCTCTTGTACAGATAGACTTATACTCTATGTGAAAAGTCTTCTTGTGTCAGGACAATGTCTGATTTAGTTATCGGTAGGTTCGTGTCTTTTTTTTTTTTTTTCTCTGCAAGCAAATCCAAGTTTGTCACACCTAAAATTTTTCTTTAAATGGAAGGCTAACGTTCATCAATCCTAATGCCGAATATTGGACTTGCTATATATACCAAGAGACATGAAATAGAGGCGCCATCGTCAGATGAAGGCACCTCACTAAAACGCTCTCATTGGTTCTGATAGTTGACCCAGACCGTTGAGATCCAGCCTACGGTGATGTTGTAGAAGAAGAACGCAGGGTGCTCCTAAACCTCAGAGACCTTTACCTGAAGAATGCTCCCAGAATCATATTCCATGAATATAGCACTCAACCAAAATGCATACCCCTTGCTCAATCACCATCCACAACACCTGCTACTGTGCTGCACAACCCCTGGTTACCCTAATAAACGATGTTTGTCCCCCCCCCCCCTCCTCTCCCCCGCCCCTATTTTTTACCGATTTACCATATGTGTGGGTCTCATAAACCAGGATCACGAGGCCGGAAGAGTGGATACAAGCAAGTATCATCCCCTTGTGGTGTAGTTGGCTATCACGTTCGGCTGTAATTGGTTAAAAATTATGATACCGAAAGGTCACCGGCTCGATTCCGGTCGAGGGGACTTGCACGAAAACTATCCTTTTTGCTGTCCGTATCTCTTTTGCTCATGTTACCTTGCTCGTTGTTGTATGTCTAGGTATGCTGTGGTTGTGATGTCCGATGAGATACTTTCGTTTTGACAACTGTTTGCTTCAAAAACAGGATAGAGGGGATGTATGAATGGCGGGAAACGCATCTGCATCCGGGAGTAATAACTAGGGGCCAAAGGAGGAGAGGAGAAAGCAACTTGAACGCCGATTCGTCTCTCGTGCGACTGCTGACTTGATCGAAGATCTTGGTCGTATATGACATTGGCTAGGCTTGTGTTCAGGACGGTGTTGGGTCTTCTGATAGTTTTGTTTCTGTGGCACGATACGTCATGTCCTTTTGACGGATGCTTGATGAGAAGAGCAAACCACAGAGACATGATCACCGACCAGAAGAATGAACGTGTATGTTTGTGATCATCATCTTCGAGATGAACATATCAACTTGGGAGATCGTAAAGTTAGGTAGGTATGTTACAGGGTTACAGGCCTTCTATCATGTTAGGACTTTGTGCTAGCCAAAACAGACCGAAACCTATATTTGCAATTCCGCACATCTTCGCAGTATGGATAGACCAACCTCCTGACTTCTCGTTGATATCCCTGCAAAGCAATTTCAATCTATCTCTAGGAGTGAGGTGGTTTTGCTTGGCGAAAATGCTCGATCACTGGATTCGAGGCAACGTCGGCATGAGCCATTGTCCAACTTGGTTTCCATAGGAGTCCATCCAGTACTGAGACTCGAAACATGCCCGAGTGATAGGAGCCTAGGCAAGGGGAAATGGTCGGGTCGGACTGCAGAGCGGCCACGATACCGGAGATAGCGGGAAGCTTGTCTGATGGCACTGTTAACTAGCGCTTCGCGTAGTCCATGACTAAGATGGCCCAGATATTGAGCGCGATGATGGGGGACATGGTGTCCCCTAGCATATCTGAACTGGGCATCTGACTCACGCCAATTACTAAGTTGCTCGGTTTGATTGAGCGATCGATGCTGATGCTCATTTTCGGCCGAGATTCACTCGCACTGGCACAGCGGCAGAGCTAGGTGATCTCGTCTTGATCGAACTGGCTGAGACGGGGTTGGAGGACTTTTTCTTGCAAAGTCCAGGCGCGCTGGTCCAGAGGATAGATGCTCGGCCACTCCGGTTGTTTGACCTGGTGGGCCAGGGCGCTCTGACATAGAGGCAACCTGTGAGTCGCAACCGACCACTTCAACCTCATCTATATCCTCCCCCGGGAACAAGGGCCGGACACGTATGTGCTTGGTCGAAGCAACCCGTGCGCTCATGAGAGATGCCAAATCGGCAGTCTGGCGAAATCATGGCCGCAATGGTGATATAAGCGTTCCCGTAGACGTCGGCCGTCTTGACAGCCTCGGCTTCTCAGTCCGTTGCGTCGTCTTGTATGATGGCTAACGTGTCGACCCATATCTAGCGCGAGCCCAAGTTGTATGCGATGATCAGGGCATCTTGGAGAATGTTGGGTTATTTTTTTTTTTTTCCCAGGGGATGCAGGATCGGAAGGCCCCGAGCTTTGCCTTCTTCAGCCTTAATAGAAGAACCTTACCCCACCTATAGCTCAATGCTGCATATTGATCAGTGGCGCCGCCGAAGTCTAAAGATTCCATCACAAAGGGCTGCAGTCCGTTAGGCGTGGGATTTACGTTAATAATTCGAGTTGGCATCCACGTTGAGGCAGACGGCTTGCAGTCGTGATGATTATCACACTCTGCGAGCCAGCACCGGATTTGCTCGATACAACTTGGAGAGTCCGAGCAGGGGGCCACCGCCCTAGCAGCCTGGATGCGGCCTAGCTGTCCTCTGGTTTGCTTGTACAGTTAGAATAACGTCGTGAGCTCGATTATGTCCTTCGCTAGACCTCCATTGCCTGAGCTTAGCTGTCCGTTTGCGCCGCAGCCCAATTTTCTCGAGAGACGTCGACCTCTGAGAGAGCTCCCGGAACCCGGAAAAGCTGAAACTCTACTTCTCTCGTACGATTGTGGGACCTTTTCTTTGAACTCCATCCTGAAAACTCAATATGAGCCGGCGTATTTGGAAGATGATAGTTCCGTATTCAAATGCTATATCTGTAAAAACGCTTGGCCCGGCAAAGAGCATAACTCAAGAATTATTATTTCGCTGATTTTCCCAAGGCTATGCAGATAACGGTCAAAACGAAGAATAGCCATCTGGAGCGCAAAGCAGGAAACACATCCAAGCTTTTGGCCCATCCAGTCATCGGGCTCAAAGAAGTCTTCGTCGGTAAACTCAACATTGAGTAGGCGCTGCAGCGGGGTCGGTGCCTCTCCCCACCGGCATCTTGGACATGGTTTGGACATGGCGAGAATGAAATTATGTGGGCTTGACGCAAAGTAGTGTGATAACACGATTGGGAGATTGGGGTTCAGCACTTGTCGTTATTGTTCGAAAGTAAGCATGGCAAGAATTGGTGGCATGTTTTTTACGTTGAGAAGACCACTGGACAGTTGCATTGCTCCGAAATTGCAAACAAGCATGTACAATGAGAACCGCTGTAAGAACGAGAAACTATGAGACCAGAGTTGTAGGTATGTTTGACTTAACGATCAGGCAGCCTTCATGGTCTGCATCATGAAGCACTGCTCCTGCTATGCCCAAGCCTTATCCTCAACAAGTGGCTATCAGACAGGGACCCAGCAGTTACTGAGGCTACATGTGGGGCCTTGACTAAGCTAGCTGGAAGAGCCAAAAAAAAAAAGGAGCACCTGCATGCTGCGTTTCGGAGTGTTGACCATTAGATGTAGACAGGTCCCATAGGCCAGAGGGATGGACAGAAGAGCTCTCTACCTTTGCTTCTGAAAAAAAAATGTGATTGCTAAGGAGTGAACTCATCCCACTTTATGCCGATGACTGTGGATGCCTAGTCGAAACTGAGGAGTTGAGGAGTTAGAGGGCCTGAGCTTAGATGTGGAACAGGTGGTACATCCGTCTTGCCCCGCACCCGCTGCAAGACTCCCCTTATAGGCTTACTGATTCCTCGAGGATATAAGCACAGCATGTTCTGAGCTCACTTTGTTAATCCTGCCCAATGTTCTTTACTTGACGTTCCTCCAAAACTTTCCTGAGTCGACAACTCCACAAGATTGAACACTTCAACGAACTTGAGGGCTGAGGCACATCACATAACTCTACGAATCCAGGCAGCGGGATCCGCAGTATTGGATTAAAATAACCGATGGGTAGTCGACGTCCCATGCAACCCATGCGAATGTGGCTGACTGCTATGACGAGCTTCGGGGCTCAGATTGGTCTGCCATAAGTAATGACCAAACAAAGATCAGACCCGGGAGCGAGGTTGAAGGTTGCTGATGCAGTCTACTTCACTACTTGCTTCCCCTTGACAAATACATGACTTTTGCTGAAACCAAGACACATCCATCCTGCCCACAGCTGGCGATCAACTCAACCATTTAGCACACAAAACTGGAGCTTGTCTCACAATGTCATTCTCAATCGAGCCCCCTTATTGTCTGCTCTGCCAGTTCTCCCTCAAAGAAAGGGACGAAGTCACCGCCTATGTTGCTTGTACGTCCCACCCTTCAACTTCACCAGTAAAGCCTTTCTAATGCGATATCATCTTCGCCATTGAGAGAACAGGGATCAAAGGCCAGATGCATCCCATAACCTTCCCTCTCGCCATCAATAAATATTCTAACCCTGACGACTTCCCATCCCAATCTCGAATCGCGGCAGCAGAAAGGCACCAGTACCGATACCATCTCTGCAACTCTATCGTAGACTGCAACGACTGGGCCCACTACTACACCATCCACGCCGTGCACGCTGAATGCGAGCGTCTCTATCCTTCCATCGCGCATGACCTACTCCGCGCGCCCATCCCCGTGGCCCTGGAGGGCAGCATGGATCGCCCCATCTCGGAAGACCGTCGTCGGTTCGAGCGCACGTGGCGGCTGCTTGTGCCAAGGCTGAGAGATGCGCTCCAGGCGAGGCTGCCGAATGAGATACTGGCTAAGATCGCGAAATATCTTGTTCGGGAGTGCGTGGTGGCTAGCTGGGTGGATCGGCTGACAGGACTTTTGTGCTCCAACCAGACGGATTTCGAGTCTTCTCTCTTGTCAGGTTGACCTGAAGAAGGACATATACGCGGGGTATTGCGTTGTGGATGGCGTTCGGTATGTTGCGCAACTCACGAACGCTCCGCTAATGAAGGAGTGGATGCCTCATCAGCTTGTCTTGGACTCTCGGAAGGAAAGCCCACCTGATAAAGTCATTGTCGCAAAAGACTACTTTGGGGTGAGGTTTGTCCGCTTTGTCCGAGAAGGGACCTCTCAGCCGCCGCTCGGCGACATTCCCGGCGCGTGGTGGACGGAGGTTTGGTTGGAACCAGACAGTACTGCTCTGGAGTTGACAACAGATGTTCGTTTCTCCTCGTCCCTTTGCCGTAGCCACTCCACATTCCCTAACTAACGCGATTCCCTCCCGCGCAGGGCTACAAATTGCGTGACATCAAACCAGCGCCAGTCAACCGCGATAGCGCCCCCCCCCCCCCCAAGCAAACAAACCGCGATCACCGTCGTCCCCCACTGGGCAGCCCCTGACCACCCCAACGAGCTCTTCATCCTCGACGAGTTCAAGATCATGGAGCGCTTGTCCCACACCTGCCTCTTGATTCCCGGCAGGGGCCACGACTTGGAGCTCTTTCTGGACTATTTCGACTGCAACGCCCCGGGGACGCGAGGATACTCCGTCGCTGTGCATGGCCCGGGACTGGGGATGCTCAGTATACATGCTCATCGGGGCGAGCTGAGTGAGAGCGAGATGCATGATATCTACCAGCGGCATACCTGCGTCGAGCCCGTGTTTTGGATCTACATGCCGCTTGATGAACGGGAGTATATGACTGAGATTGCGGTGCAGCGAATGGGCCCGTTGCCTTCGGCCGAGGAGCCGAATCCAGCGGCGGCGAATGCTAGGCTGGCGGTAGGTTCCCTTCGCTCTTCGTCTGGCCTCATCAGAGGCGATTTCTCAATAGCAGTCATAGAGGGTCGGGACCGCTGGGAGCTCTGATTAATACCGTTGCTAAACCCCCCCCCCCTTCTCACCAGTTCATCACCAACCGCTCCCGCATCCTCATCTTCGGCGGGCCCTCCATCAACACCGCAAACCCCCCACCCACCCCTGGCACCCCGTCCTCCACACAATCCTCACCCCCAGTCCCACGGGCTCCCGCATCTGGTACAGCACGCCCGCCTCCACCGAACTCTTCTACGCCCAACCCCAAGGAAAGACCTACCAAGGCCACATCCGGCACGTCTCCATCGATCTTGCGAGTGGCGGCTCCATGGCCAAGCCAAATACCGCCCTCCCCTACCGGCTGTGCCCCATAGAGTTTATAAGTACCATTGACGCGCCCGATCTGGTGGAAGACTATGGCAGGGAGTTTGGGCCGGATTTTCTTCGGCGGAGGGCAACGACGGAGGGGTTAAGAGAGGTTGTTTTGTGTCGGGATGGGACCGTGGAACACAGGCCGGTGTTGGGCATGCTACTAGTGTATCACACCCACAACACCGACGACGGGCATATGACAGAACACCGTGATTGCGTAGGTCAATTCCGCTTCGACCTCACGCTCGAGAAACTCCCCATCCCCGAGGGAACATCTCTTTGGATATTAGACGCCATCTACCGGGATAGGGAGCGCAGGCGGGGTGTGCAGTGAAAATATTACGTCGCTGAAGTCCTGACGAGAGAGCCGGTGAGAGGGGAATTCGGGTGGCGCGAGAAGGATGGGGTTTGGGTTGAGATTGAGTGGGGAGAGACGCTGGAGTGGTGGGTGTCGAGGTGGCATGCGTTTGTGCAAGTTAAGGGGACGGGGTTGGTGTTGAGGTATTGGAGGGAGGAGGGGGAGGGGCAAGATGGGGATGTGAGTGAGATTAGAAGTGAGAGTGACGAGCACGGTTCAGAGGAGGAGTTGCAGGACTGGGGATGGGAAGAGCAGAATCCAGGAGGGGGAGAGGAGGGGTGAATGCTGCCTATGCTTGAGACTTCTTCAATTTTTTGACTCTACTTAACACCCGTTCATCCCATCTATCCCATCTGCTTCAGCTGATCATCCCTAGGGTTCAAGCAGGGTCTCAGTGACGTCACCTTTCCAATCCAACCCCACAAGATCCTCCGGAAGTTCTGAAACAAGGAGACCCTGTTGCTAGTGACTCCACCACGGAAAAAAAAAACTTTTCAAAAACTTTCTCTTATTAAACCCATGTACGCTTCACTATCTCCAACGATCAGCAAGGTCCGCTGGCTCAATGGCAGAGCGTCTGACTACGGTCTGGGTCTTGAGAAAGGCTCTCTTCTCGAGATTAAACCGTGCAATCAGGAGGTTCCAGGTTCGACCCCTGGGTGGATCGAGGTCTTCTCCCAGTAATGGGAGCTGTATCTTTTCAGGTTTTTCCTTGGGCGTAAAATTCTTTTTACTGGCACAGATCATTTTGCATAGGTCTGAAATACGATGCTGGAGACTATGAGATTTTTACGAGGGTAGGCAACGAGATTCATAGAGCAATTGGATGTTTTAAAAAATGTTTATGGCTGAGTTGAGCCATTGAGCTTTCTGCGCCGTCTGAAGCTAACAGTCATGGGACCATTTATGAATCGTTTTCTAGACCCGCTCCAGCACGTACGACCATACCCAGTGGAAAGCACGGCATCCCGTCCGCTCTGCCCTAGTTAAGCCACTGAGGGCCCGGTTAGTAGTTGGGTCGGTGACGACCAGCGAATCCCGGGTGTTGTACGTTTAATTCTTTTTTTTTTCCTTTTTCTCCTTTACTCTCCCCTGAGCAGAAGACCTGCGAAAACTCCTACATAGCGAGAGCCAACATTGCTGGAAACCCTTGTTATTTCCTTAATGCCGACGGTTTGCGCGACAATCCGATCTGCTGGTCACGTGTTGGAGATTCCAAGTTCGTGTCCAGAAAAAAGGCGCAGCCCCGCATTGAGGCTCTGTGTCACGTGCTCTCTCGCTCTTGCCCATTAATAGCTCCGAGTCCTCGATGGTGTCAACGTCCATTCACTCCACTTGCATACCTGGAGCAAAGTCGGCACCATTCTAGACGTCCAAGAACCGAACCAAACCGTCGCCAAATGCTGATCGTATTGCCGAGATAAGGTGCCAAAAAAGCCAAAAGGAAAGGCCGATCGAGATGGGACTCGAACCCACAACCTCAGTCTGTTCTCCCAGGAGATAGGAGGACCACACGCTACCATTGCGCCACTCGACCTTTCAACGCTTGGTTAATGCTTTGGTATCATTAATCTATAGACTCTACTTTTTCCTGAGAATCTGGGGTCACTTTGAATCCTGCCATCAACGTTCTTTGCACGGCAAGGCCTTCACTTTCTCAACAGGCTTACCTCTCCCCTTCAAACGCTTCTATGATGTTTCTTACCGTATCCTACGACTTAATACACATTTCATTATTGTTTATTGTTTGTGTACACGAGCGCCATCCGCTCGGGGGGGGGTATCATTACTCATCATACACTCCTAGCCTGCCATGGTTACGAGTTCTCCCCTCTCCCTCTCCCTCTCCCTCTCCCTCTCCCTCTCCCTCTCCCTCATCCTCCTCCTCCTTACCTCTTTCCCCCTCCTCTTCCGGCCTCCACGCTGTTAACTTCTTATGAAGCCCTTTCCGCCACGGCTTCGCCCAAAGGTTCCCGCGTAGGGGCGTGGTGTCGCCGAGGATGTGGAGGTGGCGGCGGTAATCTGTGAACTGGATTGGATCGATGGAGCGGTCGGGGTGTAGTTTGGCCAGTTCAGCCTGGACTCGTGGTGGTTTGGCTTTGGCTAGTTTGGATTGCTTTGGGTTGGGTTTGCTCTGGCTTGCCGTCGTTTAACCTGTCCTGCACCGCAGGCTTGTCGTGTGCCGATTGGGCATGCTGTGGCCTGGCCTGCTCTGGCTTGACCTGCTCCAGTTTTCCGTTGTCTAGCTTGGGGCGTTCCTCGGACACGGACGGGGACCGGGACTCGTATGTGACCTCGGGCGCGAGAGCAGACTCGTTCCTTAACTTTGGGCTTCCAAGTTGTAATCCATGGTGCTCAGGCGTGGACCCCGATACAAACCTCTGCGCAGGCGCAGACTCCAACGGTGCTCCTCCCACAAACCCCAGCGACGTCGCGGTCGCATAGTCGCCATCATGGCTAATGCTGACGAGCGCCATCTGGATGGTCAAGCGCCCGCTGTTCTGGGGCTGATCAGGCGCGCTATCGAACTGACGGAGCACCGCCAGCGGCGCGTCGGCATGCCACGACGCTACAGGTCCTAGCACTTGAACCTCATGTTCCGTGAGCTCCGCCCGCGGAAGGATCTCGATGTCCTGCCAGGAGAGGTAAAGGTGCGAGTGGGCTTTTTTCACGGCTTCTTTGGCGGCCCAGCTGGGGAGAGGTTAGCCACTGGTGTAGCCTAGCCCGACATTTTATTTTTCTTTCCCTGCTGAGACCGGTGAAGGACGAGACTCACCGGCCTGCAATAAACGTGGCTGCCTTCTTCCGCGGGAGTTTGATATTGCCTAGTATGGTCCCGTAGTCTGGGTTCGCCGCATCCAAGCTGGGGAGTTGAAATGTATCCTCTTCGCTGTTCTCCCCATTTTCTTCGTCCAGACCTTCCCCAAAGATTGCCTTGTAGATGGTCGGTTGGCGCCGGCAGCAAGCTGAGAGCTCCCGCTGGGTAAGTATCCGCTGTACGAAGCGTGGACCGTTCTCTGGCCCCTTGTCGTAGAGGAGTGAGTAGATGCGAGGGACGGCGCAGATGTCAGTGCCAAGCTGGAGCGGGAATGGGAAGCGGAGGTAACGGGATGGCGGCATGGCCGAGGGCTTAGAGGTCAGTTGCCGATGCCGTCCGGATCGTTGCGATGTAGGGAGGGCGTGAGCGGTTTCTGCCCAATTCAGGTGGCTTGAGGCGCTGTTGGGATCCTGTACTGCCGGAGGGAAATGGTGTTTTCGTAGCATCTGGCACTCTTTTGTCTAGGCATTTTTTGATTGGTCAATGGGACCCTGTTCGGCCTTCCAACACCAGCCTTATCATGTGCATGGCAGGTCCTGTGGGGTGAAGGTGCTTGGCGAATGACGTGTCCAGCATCCAGAGGGAACAGTTTAGAAGCCAATTCATTGATCACATACTGAGCAGATGCTCAATTGAGCTCGCTATGTGAACGAATGAGAATGCCAATTCATCGAAACTAACTTCAACCCTCGGCTTACTCGGAGTTCGCGAGGGGTTGGGCGTTGGGCTCTCAGGTTGTTCCAACTCGAAAATATCCACTTTTCCCCATCATGGAGTTAAGCAAGCCAAAATCTATATAATGGTACCTTACAACTCCAGATTATTTTGTAAGCGCGACGGTCTTAACGCAACCCGGCCGAGCAGCTCTACGCGGATTGAAGCTCGAAGCCCTCACATTCTGAGCCGTTTCCTCGGCTTTCCCCCCCTCCCCTCCCTCCCCCGATCTCAACACAGAAATTTGCCAATTAGTTTGTAGCAACCATACAGCCAACCCTCCGGTCTGCCGAAAACTGGAGTTAATTGGCTTGATTCCCCCCCGTCAACACACTTGCCTATGTCTTGCAGTTCCTTGCAGCGAGCATCATTGCTAGAAAGAGGCTAGGACTGTATTGCACACCGTGGGTTGTTGTGGGCATCTAGCCCCGCGCCAGGGTCCCAGGAATCGCACCCATGCAAAACCACAGCACTCAAAAAACCCCATCGGACAAACTCCAAACTCCATCACAATTCATGAGCTGATGGACCAAATGGTCTGCTGATTACTTCTGCAGGCGGCTCTTGGACCTAGCTGCAGAAATCTTCAATATCTAAATTCCAATTACCCAAACCGAAGGCTTCTGGAGGCCGTGCAATGTCCTAATGACAAAAGTACCCTTCCACTCTCATTGTTGCTCTACCAAAGTGTCAATCCCTAATGTACACACCATGTTCATGTGTACGTAAGTTCTGCACTAAGACTAAAATAGTAGAATGAGACAGCGCCAACGATCTGCATTTGGGCATCACAAGGCAGCTACTAGCCAAAAGGGACCAATGATTCAAAAGCACTCATCTGCAACGGCACAGCGGAGAGAGCCCTCTGTGAGCCGTCAAGTGTCTTGGCTTTGTTTCTCAAACTCTACTGTGTGTTGTTCAAAACTTATTTCGAGTGCATAGCTCACCCTAGATCTCGCTATACGATCTTAGATCCAGCAGGTTTTGAGTGGCTCCGATCAAAGTGTTATTCCAGCCTTATTATATGATGTCTTCCGTTTCTTCTGGCTGCAAGCCTGCGGTTCAAGGCGTTACCATCGACTCCCATTTTTGCTCCTGCTTTGCTTGCAATTTGCCACTGAACGCAGTCTAGGCCACTAAATAACTCGTCTTTTTGGTTGGCCTGCGCTGCCAACAGTAGCCGGGTGCGACCCCAATTGGACAATGGCTACCATCGGTCCGTACGAGCACACGAGGCTCTTCTCTTGGGTTATTATCTCTGTTGCGTCACAATTTCTCCTTTCCCCGTCTGGCTCCAACTGGTCCGCGGCTCTCTTATACCCTCTTGTTAAGGCAACAAAGCATCCCGCAGCTTCATTTCTCTAACCGATCTTCGGGCTTGTCAGCAAAGGCTGTAAAAAAGGTACAGGGCAGAGGTCAACAGACATAGCAAGTGATTGGGTCGCCTCAGACGGTTTGAAGCTCCACGCGCTTCTCTTTTACTTTTACATTTACAATTACAACTTCCTTTTTTTTACAGATTATGTCAAGCTCATGAGACTCCGCCTACGTTGCAGGGCACAGCTTGCGAGTAGATAAATGTTAACCTGGAATGGCTGAGGTTTATGGCGAGGTTACCGCTCTTATCTTCACCTAACGTTTGAGATAAATCCCTCCATGAGCTTGGCTGGGAAGACTCGTCTCCTGACGGCAACCATATCGACTTCTATCAACTAAGATTTGTTCGTAGACTCTATGTTTCTTAGTTAACAAAAACAACGGATTACGTACACGGCTGCTGGTTTACAATGCGACAGACCAACAACGATCGTGTCGTCTTCATCCATGGAAAAAAGAAGCGGGCTCCGATAGTTCGTCTCGAACAATGGATGCCATGGCGACCTTTGATCGAGAGGCTTTATCTGGTCGAGCATAAGACCCAAGAAGAGATTGTCCGCTTTCTCAACAGGGAGGAGGATTTCCCTGTAAAGCCCGTTTGGTGAGTGCAGATACCCCGGCTCATTGTCGCTCTTCAAGCAATATACTTGCTGAGACACGATGCTAGCAAACGGCAGTTGGTTTATGTCTTGGGGTTATGGGACTTGAGGAGATACACCAGGCGAAATAGGGTGGTATCAGCCAGTTCATCATCTCCCCTTGTTCATCCACCTATCCATATCACGCCCCGTTATACCAGGCCGCGTTACCAACCCCTCTTCCAGGAGTCAATGTCAGACCAACTCCAGATCCCCCTCGATAAGCTGCAGAATTATCGCTGGCTTGCCGAGATCATGGAGGTCCTGGGAGATAAGTACACCGCCAGCAACATTTTTATGGGGCTGTACGAGCACAACAGTAAGGTCAACAGTCAGGTTGGGCCTAACATTGAGATTGGCTTTGCCTTCTCCCGCACAGCCCAATCACTCAAACAACTCGCTTTCGCCAAAAACAAGGTGCTCCCGGAAATCATACGCACACTATCGCATCATCATCATTATCATCAAGGTAACAACAGCAACGAAGACGATTGTCCGACGTGGAGCCACTTTCAGTTCGATCTGAATTTTGCTCACGTCACCGATCGAGAAAGCCCGGGAAGCAATAACGCCCTGAGCCAGTTGTACGAGCTGTTCGCTGAGAAAATCCGCCCGATTGGCAACGACGCACAGCGGCATTTCATGAGCTTTAGCCCCCGGACACCGAACCTCCTGTTCGACGTGCCGATCTACCTCGCTTTCGTCCCGGCTGCCACACGCTATGATCAAGCCCCTCCAGAGTACTACATGCTGAACGAGCCTGCGCCAGAGGAGAGCTCTAACGATGAAGAAGTGGACGAGCCCAACTTTTTACAACTCCTCGAGTGGTTCCGAAATCAGCAGCTTGTCTTTTCCCATCGGCGTTGTCGGGCCAGCTGCTTGGCTGACTGTCTCACGTGGTGCATGAAGGTCCTTGAACACCCCTCGCTGGTCCCTCAAGCCCTAGAGACAATGATCACCAACCCCGAGGCACATATCTACATCGTGCTCTGCACCATCCTCCAGGAATGGCTGCGCCAGCATGTTCAGCAAGAAAGGTTTGCCTTTCGGCCAGCCACAGCTAACCACGGCCCTCGGGAGTTGGCAGACCTCAATGGGTCACCACCGCCCGAACCCAGCTCGACCTCTCCCCTCCGCAATTCCTCACCGTCGTCGTGTGCATGATCATGGCCGAGGCATCGCAGCAGTCAGACACTGTCGCATCCCGCCACGATCTGTCCTGCGCACTGCTGTTCAGGAAAGCCTCTCGCTCTGCTGGGAACCTCAAATCCCTTCCCCACAAAGACCTCTTCAACCGGTTTCTGAAGAACACAACCGCGATCCAATACCTCCACGTTGTCGCTTCCCACCCTGAACAACCAACAACCTACCCCCAGCAGCAGCAAGACTGGATCAACGCCCTGCCCCAAGTCCACAACCCCCCCCCCCACAACAGACAGCATCTCCTCCGTCGCCCTCCTCGCCCCATTCCGCAAGTTTATCGCCCAAATCCTCACCATCGATAACCTCCCTCCTCTCGATCTCCATATACCGGTCTACCCTCTGACCCTGGACATGTCGGGCGGTGGTGGCGATGCGTTCTCGCCGCTCCCTTCGTCGCTGGAGTCATCGCCGCTAGCAAATCCGCAGGGTTCGTCGTCATCGGGGCATTTGGAACAGGCTGAGCCGGGGCCTTCGACGGCGGTAAGATTGGCTATTAGGACATAGCATGGATGAGGGAGGGAAAAAGGGGGTGAGGGTGGATTTTTGATCGGGTGAAAAGAGATTTCTATCTTATGATAGGTATTTAATTTCTGTTTTCTTTTTATTATTATTATTATTATTATTATTATTATTATTATTATTATTATTATTATTATTATTATTATTATTGTTGTTGTTGTTGTTGTTGTTGTTGTTGTTGTTGTTGTTATCTCTTGTGTCTGGGTTTCTCCTCTTTCTGTTTTGCTATGAACTGTTGTTTTGGTTGTGAACATTGTCCCCATCGCATGATATTCCCCCCCTCCCCTCCCCCCCAACTTCCCCCAAATTGTCTACCACTGCATCATCCTCTCTTACTATATATAGATTGCAGAATGACGCTCTTCGATTTGAGGTGATGGTATTTTGCTTTTCATGTTCCGAGTTTGGCATCATTTACCCTCGTCTTAGTCTTTATCACCGGAGTGTCTCAATCTTGACGGCATCTGGATCGGGATGTGGGCAGAGGAGTTGCAGGCAACTGCGCAAATTAGTGGTCTAGTGATACCCGGGCTGGCAAGAGGGAGGAAGGTATCACGTCTCAGAAACGGTGGTTGTGTTAGTCATCAAATTCCTTGGGAGGTTCCGGTGCTTGAAGGGATATATATATGTATGTATATGGCATGAGTGGAAGGGTCTTTTTTTTTTAATTTATTTTTTATAATTTTTTTTTTGAGTTTTGAGTTTTTGGATATCCTTTGAGTTAGTTAGGTCCATGATTCTCCGTAAAAAAAAAAAAAGAATCACAAGCCAGTACGGTATGACATTGCTTTTTTCCCTACTCAGCCTTCTATCCACACTTTCGTGATCTGAATCGCTCAGTCTTTTACGACTATACCACGCATCCCACTACTAACCCTTACTCCCCCAACCTCAAACTCCCCCTAAACTCCTCAATTTCCACTCCCCTCTCGACCAACTTCCCATCCTCTCCCCTCCCAAAAGTCCACACCTCCCCAACCCCAATCGCCTGCAAATATTTCAGTCCCCTCAAATAATTCGTCGCCACCTGCCCAATCCCATGACTATCATCCGAAAACGTCCACTTCCCCCCCATCCGCGTCCACGCCTCAGCAATCTCCCGCTTAGGATACGGCTCCTCCAGCCCTTTGCGTAGGGCAGACGTATTGCACTCCAGCCAGCCGTCGTAGGATTTGATGAGCGCAAGGTTGCGCTCGATGCGGCGCCAGACGCCCGGCCAGGAGGTGAGGTTACGGCCAGGGGAGGAGGAGAACAGCCGGATGAGGTCGAAGTGCCCTATGACTTTGGGGCGCATGGTTGAGAGGAGGGAAAACTGCTCGTCGAAGTAGATCTCAAACAAAGCCTCTTCCGCTTCATCGGATGACTCCCCTTCGGAGGGGACAGGCAGACCGCGGTGTTTTGCTGCTGCGCAGACGGCTTGCAGGTACATTGTGCGATCGTAATCGATTGGTATTGTTAGGGTGTGGTGCAGGGAGCCGATGAAGTAGTCTGCTCTCCCGGACAGGGACTGGATTAGAGGGGAGTAGTCTTCGGGACGGATCCATTCGCCTTCGAAACCGATTAGGATGGTGATTTGGGAGGAATATTTCTCGCGTAGACGGATCGCTTCGGCGAGGTAGGCTTCGTGGCGGGGGGGTTGGAGGGCAAGGACGGCTTCGGGGGTAGGGGCTTCCGCCTGGAAAGGAAGTCAGCACGCTTAATTGCTGTTAAGGAGGAGAAGAAGAGAGGGGAGGAAGGGCCCCGGGGGGGGGGGGGGAGAAGGAGGGGGAAAGGGTAACAAGGGTAAGGGGATAGGGAAAGGGAGGATGATGTACGAATTCCTCGGGGTAGAGGTCGGATACGGAGGTGCGTGGCATGTGCTCGGTGAGACCGATGGTTTTATAGCCGATGGAGATGGCGTGTTGGATGATGGACTCGAGCGTGTCTTTGGCGTGACCGGGGCAGAATTGCCCGGAGTGGGAGTGCATTGTGAAGGCCATTTTGATAAGAGCTAGGCGTAATTGTCTACTATTCAATTGAGCTGAGTTGAAGGAGAGTTGATATTGGTCTGGCTGATGATAAGTCAGTGAGTGAATGTGCTCGAAGATGAGGTGGATGAGTGAGGGGTTTATCACTTACCAGGTTTACGAGCCCCAAGATATTATCACAATAGCAGCTTCAGATTGTCGATGTGCTTAATGATACATCGACCTCGACCTCGACCTCGATATCTCTGGATAGTATCTCTTATCTTTTCCAAAGTTGATGTCCTATCGCATGTGAGACAAGACATAAACACAGAGGTGCGGGGTGTCGTAACGTTTGACCAGGGGGGAACTTGGACATAAGTGGAGCTGGTAATGGTTTAGACGCACAGTCCCCCCTGGTCGCCCGTCCAACCCTGGTAGACCCTGAATGGAGTGAGAACCAAACATTGAAAAGGGGTGATATATCGTATTTGAAGCGAATACTCCAATTGAGGGCAAGCTGAACGGTCCAAGTATGATGACCCTTGAAGTCTGCTATGCTAAGTTAGCAGAGGAGGTGTTGACATACCTACATATATATAGGTCACAGTCATACTCCATGCTCTCTCTGTTTTGTCCTTCGATTGGCTGTTGAGATCACTAATCGTATGGAGTAATTTGAGATAGAGTTAGTTTGAGCCAAATTTTGTAAGGGACAGCCTAAGCTACTTGAACAACAGATGAGGTGCCACACAAGCCTACTGTAAAATACCGAACGTTGGCCCCTGAAAGGTTAAACGAATGACTGTTTCACGACGACAACCCTCACCAAACATTTAAAAAAGACTTTCGAACTCGATCCGATTTCATTTCCATACCTAAATACCAGCCTACCTATACAAACAAGAAAAAAACCAGAGACAAAACAACCCTAAAAAGAAAGAAAGAAAGAAAGAAAGAAACCAACACCATTCTCCCTTCCTCCATCCAGCCATCCAACCATCCGTCGAGGCCATCATAATATATATTTTCATTGTTTTCGTTTTTTGCTTTTCGTTCATTTTCAAGGACACACACAAAACTCCGTTCATCCGTCCATCCACCGTTCCTTTCCTTTCCTCCATGATACACTTCCCTCCAGACGCGCGCCAGCCAAGGAGACACACACCGAGCTGAGAAATAAGAAACAGAAAACGCCGAGCCAAATCCAAAAACCGAACCCAACATCATACGTACGCACAGAGACCGCACCGTGTGTACAGAAACAGGGAAAGGACAAAACGAAAGGAAATAGTCGCACATCTTTTGAGTTTGTTCAACCCGATCTGCCCAGAGGGACCAGACATATCATCGTCAGCCCGCTCACACGGATTTACAGCGCCAATCCAGTACCGTCCCCGGTCCACCTATACAGCGAAAGCAGCTCTCTCCGGCGCTGGTGCTGCTCGCCCAAGTCCTCCGGCACACGGCCACGCACCTGGGCCAGGGCGCTGCGCATTACGCGGCTGAAGTTGCGCTGTATGCAATCGTCAGCACCCTCTCGCTTTCTTCACTATGTTGTCATGTTGTAGTTGGGAAGGGAGGAGAGAGAGAGAGAGAGAGAGAGAAAGAGAGAGAGAGAGAGAGAGAGAGAGAGAGAGAGAGAGAGAGAGAGAGGAGGAGGGGGGGAGGGAGGGAAAGGGAGAAAACCTACCTGATATTCCGTATTCAAGGTAACCACACATGCTTCATGCGCCCGAATAATCGTCTCACAAGCCTTAACCACACTCGGCGATGCTTCCAACTGCAACTTATCCGCAATAAGGAGCAACAAGAAACTCCCTTGCAATAGATAAATCCCAAAGAAGAAAGGCATGAACTCCAGCCCGGGGTCGAACTCCAAGATGTTGGAGATCGCTTCCGCCGCAGACACGGCGTGCCCGGTCGCGGTGATGAACCCCTGGCTGCTGATCCACAGGTCGTTGTCGTCCAAAAGGTTGATGGGATCCCATTTGCCGGTGAGGAGGATGTGCAGCACGTGCATGACGTGCGTGCCGTAGGCGACGACGATACGAGTTTGGATATCGGATTCGGACATGCGCGGGGCGGGGGAGCCAGTACTGCGGACGGAGTGGCCAGACGGGGTACCCGGGTTGTTGTTGTTGTTGTTGTTGTTGTTGTTGTTGTTGTTGGTGGTGGTGGTGGCGGCGGTGGTGGTGGTAGTTTCCGTGTTGGAATTGTTGTTATTCCCCTCGCAGGCCTTCTCTCCCTCACCTTGCGTCTGCTGCTGAGCTTGTTGTTGAGCAGCCTGCTGCGCAGCCTGCTCCAGTTGGGCCTTGGCCGCGGGGCTGAGATGTTCCTGCTCGAAGCGCTTCAGACTGCGCTCGTAGGTCTCTAAGTGCCTCGTAATCTCATTCGTCTGGTCATCCCACTCCCGCTGGGAGCGGAACCCGATACCAAACCGGGGGTGGTTCCGCGCATGGTGCAGATCGACAATCTCGCCCAGAATAGTCATCAGCGGCAGGAAATATCCAAAAATACTGTGCCCTGTGCACTCGAAGCTCGGGCCCCTGATGCGTGCCCTCTTGCCGGCGTGCGCATCCGGATCGGTCGCCAGCAGCGCGGGGTCAACATACGACGAGAAGTTCCCGTTCTGGTAATCCGTGTCGTCCATCGGCTGGAGCAGGCCCTCGCACTCGATGTCGAGCAGGAAGAGGGGACGGTTATAGCAGAGGGCGAGGTGGCGATCAACGATGTAGACGAGCCACCAGATGCGCCGGCGCTCTTCGCGTTCTTCCTCGGTGATGACACCCGGCGGGACGCCCTCGCTGCATTCCTCGTCCGAGGCGCCGCCTTGCCGGCTGGCGGGAGCATGGGGAGGGAGTTCCCTGCCGAGCTTGAGCTCGCGGGCCAGAGACCAGGCAGCGTTCCACCACCGCAGGCTGGCCCCCTTATACTCGGACGCCGAGACGACGGTCGCGAGGTGGATGTAGGTAACCACATCGTCGAGGGTGCCAGCGGCACCGAAGGCGCCACACTCGGCAGTGATGGCGTCCATGTTGGATCCGGGCAGGGCGACGCCAAGCCCACCAAGAGCAACGCCATCGACGATGGGGCTCGACACGGGCGAAGCCTCCTCGGAGGGATTGTGGATGAGCGGCTTCAGCAAGCTGACAGTGAGCTCGAGCAGCTTCTGGCAGATCTTGCCGCGGGCCGAAGGCACGCTGGTAAGGAAGGGGGCGTCGCTTGTCTGGGCAGCGACCCAAAGCATGGAGGCCAGCAGGGCCGGCTGGCACTGGCGCGGCTTGGTCGGGTGCAGGAAGGACCGCTTGCGGAAGACGTAACCCAGGACATAGGGCGACATGGGATGCATTTGGGCTGCGGACGAGCTCGCGAAGTAGAGGTCAATCAGGTCGCAGGCCAGGGAGAGCGGGATGATGTTGCCCAGATGAGGAACCAAAGGCTCCAGGACCGGGTAACGCAGCCCTTGGTGGCTGTAGTTGGGCTGAGGGGGAGGGGGGGGATGTGCGAGGCAAACTGCGGTGGCGGAGAGGACATGTTCATCCAGCCCGGGGATGCCGTCTCGCCGCCCATCGGGTATGCGCTGATGGGGCTGTTGGCGAGGGGGAAGCCGTTCTGAGCGTTTGGGGTGTAGCCAGTCGGGCTTTGTGTCTGAAGGGCGTATGGAAGATCGGGGTAGCTTGACATGCTGGCCTGGTTCGAGCCATATGGCGAGTGGGTTGGCCCGCTCATGAGGTGTGATCCCATCGGCTGCCTGTCATAGCCCGCATGCACTCTCGGATACCCGTTGATATCAATTGGGCTGTTCAGATGGTCGGGATGGCCGGTGATAGGTCCCGGATGTGCGCTCAAGTCCCCTAAGCTATCCATGCTCCCTGTCCTCTGCACATCGGTCATCGGCCTATCTGGCGTTCCCCTCGTCTCGGTAGATACTGTGAGGGTGGGCTTCGTAGGGGCGGCGGCGGTCGTGGTCGTGGCTGCTGATGTCGTGGCTGCTGATGTCGTCGCTGATGTCGTCGCGGCGGAACTGTTGCCATTGCTCTGGTTCTCGGATGATTGGCCCTCCTTGTTCTCCCCGTTTTCTTGACTTTCCTGCTTGTTGGCATTCTGAGCTGCCGCCTGAGCAGCAGCTTGGGCAGCAGCTTGAGCTGCCAGATCCTTCCTGCTCGCCTTTCCACGCTTCTTGCGCTCGCGCATGTACTCGCAGGTGAGTTGAAACTCTGTGTTATCTTCATGTTAGAAAACAAAAACAAGAACAAAAACATTCCTTACTGGGCTTGGGAAAAAAAAAAAAAACTCGGATGGGGTCCTGTCTCACCAATGCAATGGGCACATGGTTGCTGGCCATCACATTTTGTCCTTAGTTGGTTGCACTGATCGCATGCTCTGCTGATTCTCCTGCGAATAGGGCCGGCTGCCCCAGCTGCCCTGGCGGCAGGACCATAGGGATGTTGCCGGTGCTTCGGCTGAGGACCGGCCCTGGCGAGATGGGGGTTGTGAAGGCCCATATGGGGCATCTGCTGGAGGGCATAGTGTGGCCCAGCTGCTAGGGGGTCGAGCCCCGGGTGAAGATGACTGGCTGGGACATGGCCGTTCGACAGGAGCGACGTCGTGGCCGGCATGTGATAGGGAGAAAACCGGTGAAGCGGATTCGACAACATCTTGACTGACGATGCCCGTTAGAGTCCTCGGCTGCTGTCTCGTTGTGGGGTGTTGGTGATATATAGATATTAGCTAATAGGAGTATAGTAGTAGGTCATCAAGACCAAAACCGATTAGGACATGTGAAGACGAGCTGGCTTCGAGCGAGCGCGGGCAGTTGGTTGAAGCGCTGCTACGTCTTTCGAGATGTGTCGCAGAGAGGGGAGTAGGAGTAGGTGTGTGGTCGAGATGAGAGCTGAGAGCTGTCGACGACTAAACACGCCGGCAGCGACAAGCGAGAACTATGTATACGATGTGTGGCCTTATGGCGGATGACGATAGCGAGTTTGCCGAGCCCCAGACTGGAGAACGGCAGTCAGACGGACCGAGAAAGTCAGCTTCCTTTCACGGAAAGGTCAGTGACAGGCATAAGCATTAAAGTGCTGTTAAGGGCACTAAGGACAGGGTGGTGATAGCATTGACAGACACCAAAACACTGGAAGGGGATCCGCGCGGATGTGGACGAGAGAGGACGGCACGGCCATTGTCATCTGCACGATGGATGCAGATGCTAGCAGCCATACCACGGCACCATACCTCTAGTATGGCATGGCGGGGTTGGGTTTTAAGAGACCTGGGGGTAGGGGTAGAAAGTAAGGTAAGGGGGTGCGCTCCTGGAACACCAGACAGCCTGGTCTGGTCGGGTCTGGTCTGGGTGCGTACCAGAAAGGCCGGGGAGGGGGGGGGGAGGGGAAGTTGAAAGGTCGGGTGCTGTTGGGGAGGGCAGGAGACACAGGATCGAAACGGAGCTCCTGTTGTTGTGGTTCGGGGACGGGAACAGGAACGGGGACGTCAGATTATCGAAGAGGACGAGGGGGAAAAAGAAAAAAAAAAAAGATGCTGGGCATGAGTAATAGACAGAGGGGAAGATCTTTACGTACGGGAAGCACTGCCGTGGTCAACAACGGCTGATTTTGACGTCTTCTGGATGCTAGGCTGGGTCGGCGTCGTTTCTGGCACCGTTCCGAGCCCCTAGAGATCCGGATGTCAAAGAAACTTTCGTCTCGAACTTGTTTTTTATTTCTCAAGACGAAGACGACGAAGCGCTTTACTTCTCAGTCCAAAAGTCCCGGAGCTTGACTTTAGGCTCTTCGTCCCGAGCGATGTACCAAATGAATGGCCGCAGCGATCGTGGTCGAAAAGAGGAGACCAGACCCGAGCCGAGTTGGGTGTGCCAAAAGGGTTAAGGGATGTCCGAATTGAGCAAGATAGATGAGCAAATCGGTAAATTTTTCCTCAGAACTGTTCCTGCTTCTTCGGTGATGCACTCTGTCCGACGACGAGTCAGACACACACAGCTTGGCAGGAATGTACTTGGGGGAGAGAGAGCCGGGAGAGCCGTGAGCTGTGCTTGGGGACAGTGGACGAAGATTGGCGAGTGGCGACCGGGGAGGGGAAGGGGGGGGGGAACACGGCTTTCTGGGCCAGCACAATATCGAGTATCAAGTAGTTTATATTGGGCTCGCAATATAAATCGGCGGGACGGAAGGCATCTGACGAGAGGGAGGGATAGAGGGATGAGCACGCGGGGCGGATGCGCAGTGAGGTAGTGAGGAGCTGTCAGCTGGAGAGGACGCTAGCTACGGATCGGATATGTCAACGTAGGAGTGAGCACGCAAATAAGCTGTAAGGCGTATGTATGTAGCGTAGCTAAGAGAGCTCGTCGTCAGCCGTGGACGGGAGCAATGTAGCAGCAGCAGGACAGGCTGACAGGCGGATTCTGGGGAAGGGAAGTCGAAATCCATCAATCATCAGGGTCTTCCTCAGCATATATGGTCATCCCTCTTTTTTTTTTTTTGTCCCGCACGATAGCGAGCATCACCCCCGACCTGGCATGGAGGTCCCATCGGCAAGCAGGGGGGCCCATCTTGTGGTAGCATGGTGGACATGGTGTGGACTCGTGGTTGTAGTGGAGCACGCCGGCGCCAACTCCGCTGTCGTCGCCCTCCGCTTTCAAACACGCCGGCGAGCGAGCGAGCGCGGCGGGCGGCGGGCGGCCATTGTGGATTGGGAAGAAAATCCGTCTTCAGCGACAGCAGCGTCTCTTTCTGGCCTTCAAGCGCTCTCTTCTCCCCAAACGGGTCACCGAGGATGTCAAGGTCAAGGGCAGCCACGCTGACTTTTCATCACCAACGCTATCATCCTCGACCCTGACTTCACATTCTTCTCTCTGATTCATGCGCTCGTGCGAGTTCTGAGCAAATACAAACCACAGAACTCAACAGGCCCACTGCGAATGGCGAATGCGGCATTCCATGGCATAGCCTGCCAGCGATAATGGAAAATAGTGGCCTCCTCCACTGCACGCCAAGGTCCAACAGTGACAAATTGCCGCGAAAAGTCAAGTGGACGTGTGTGGGTGATGGAAGTAGAAGCGCAATCGTGGGGCACTGAGAACCAATGGAATCCCTGTTTCTAGTGGGCTTGGCAGTGCTTGTGTTCGGCCAGAGTGCCGCCGAAGAAAGGCCATCACCTCATCGACTGCTCGCTGCCGGTGCTGTGGACTCTCTGCAGTGAACCTTTTCAGGCCTCGTACTGCAGCGCTGCTCTATGTCTGGGGCGAACCTAAAAAGCTGTGGTCGGAGCCGAACCGGACATTTTTTTTTTGTGTGTGTGTGTGTGTGTGTGTGTGTGTGTGTGTGTGTCTGTGTGTCGTCTTACCACTCTAAGTGCATGCTGCTCTGCTCCTCAGTGTTACTGCTGATGCTGGCTCTCCAATCGCTTTGCCCCCCCCCTCCCCCTGATCTGTCTGTTTCTGGACACAATTGGCCTGCAGACAGCGAGCCTCAACCGCCTAGGCGCTGACCGTTGCGTCAAGCCAAGGCCTGTGGTGACATTTTGGTGGTATTCTTCGCTGAAAGAAACGGCCATCGCAGGCCTTCCAGATCTGCTGTACTATAAGACACTCTATTAATCCGCCTGCTGTCGTATACGCTCTGCTACTATTGCCTCGCGAACCGGAGGTTTTCCATGTTCGTCAAGGCTTCCAGAATGACCGGGATGTCATTGAACTGCTTGCCCACAGAGGGCATAAGAGTGGTTCGTCCAAAGCTAACGCTTGGGGAGGAGGACGACCGGTGTTTGGGACGATCATGGACACTTGACTCTTTTTCATTTTCCGGCCCGGCGGTCGCCGCGGATTTGCCGCACGGTCTGCTGGGATTCTAGAGTGTGTTGGGGCAACCCCGGACCTTGTGGGTGACCCCCGATTTCGATCGATCATGTTGTGCTTGGAGCAGAATGCTGCACTCCTCCATTTTTCTTGACTGGGGCAAATGGAGGAGGGGCCACAAGCGAGGGAAGAGGGGCTGTCTTCCTGCGCTGCGCTAGCGTGCTTGTCTGCTGGAGACCTGAGACTGCCCAGACGGCAGATGGCGGCTGACTGACGGCTCGCTCGCCTCATCTTGCCGGGGGAGTACCTGCCAAGACCCCTAAGAAAACCGCAAGCAAAAGCCCCATTTTCTGTGTGGGCCATCCAACTTTCCCCCTACTCACATGGCCAGCAATGGCCCTGGAGCTCCACCCATCAAAAAAGACTCCGCATCTGCTGAGTCAGTAGGGCAGGTTTTCAAGAAGAGAAGCAGAAAACGCTAGCAAACGCGACGCAGAAAATGGAAACGGGAGCTGCTGGACCAGAGATGAAAGAGTCGGTGAGTCCGCTCAAACTGAAGGAAACCACGCCATTGTGCGATGGAACTGAACCCGGTCCTGAAAGATGGCCCTTTCACTTGCCAAATTCCCAAGACAAAAAAAAATTAAAAAAAATAAAAATAATAAAAAAAATAAAAATAATCGTCCTTCATGCCCTCCCCCTCACCAACCCGTCCCCCCTCCCCATGTTCTCAATGCTCTCCACCTGCCCATACTGTGGCCAAAACTTTATGCTGGATTCCAATGTGGTCTGCCAGCCCAGACAATGCTCTTGTTTACATGGCATTGACTCCCGAAACAGTTTGTTGACCGAACAAAGCCACATGATACTCAGGGTCAACTTTCACTGCCCTGTCTCTCTGGTTTTCAGCTTCTGGAACGGACAGGTTCGGAAACAAACACCGCTTTTCGAATTGCAGTGCCGTCAGCTTGACAGTGTTTGATCCCAAGTCGTATGGCTCGTACGGTAGACTCAATATCAGCGAGCCTTAACTCGTCAATTATCGGCCGAGATAACAGCGGGGAAGGCGGATTCGCATCCACCGCGTTTCCCTCTGCCCAGCTGCGAGCAACGTGAAACATCTGGGCGCCAATCAGTGCAATCACACACTCTCACACACACACACACACACACACTGGGGCCAAACATACTGCAGTACCACCTGTCAGTGGCTTTTCTGCTGTCTCACGCTCCGGCAGTCGTCCTCGGCTCCAGTACGGCGGAGATGTGCGTTTCGCAGCTGAGCATTAGCGGTTACGTAGACATATGCCCTATAAGCTATTCTCTCTTGTTTTCCCATTCTAACAAATTCAGCTTGGTCTCGAACCGAAAACGGAATTATAACAAGCTTCGATGCCAAGACCCGGAGACTTCAAACCGTTCTAGACGTTCTAACGGCGCCTGCGCTACGACATCAGCCCAGCCATCAGAGTCTGGGCAGCACGGCCTTGTCTCCTCATCCTACGGTACGCTCTGTGCTTCGGCCAACACCATCACCCGGGCCCAACCATGGCTGTCTGTATCCCTGCTGCCTGCAGACAAACGTCGTTCCTGGAAATAGATCTAGTGCTGTGCCGTTCTGCAGACGCCGTGCCCGAACTCGATTAGTGGTGCGCAGCATGTGCTGACGCCCGGTCCTGTCTTTTAGGCCACACATCCGGCAGGCAAAAGCCGTACTGCAGCAGAGGTTCTGTTACTTAGGTAACACAGGGAACCGGTGAGGCTGAGCAAGAACGACGCATCTGTCGAGCCTCAAGATTGGATGATCAAATCATTGAGTTGATGTTGAGTCCCTCGCTTGCAGGAGGG